CCGGGCGGGGTCTGCAGGGAAAGAAGTCAGAGCCCAGGTGCAAACCAGGAGAGCACCCGCCGGGGACAGAGTGGCAGGCCCTGAGACGTGGGCGCAGGAAACGCCGTGGAGGCGCAGGAAGGCGGGGCTCCGGTGCGGAGCTGATGGAAAACCAGCGCCGTGGGAGGAGGGGAGGGAAAGGCGGGGGGCGGGGTGCTGGGGAGGGGGCACCTGAGGGTCCATGGCGTCAGGGGCGTCCTGGGGAAGGTCGCAGCTTTCAGGTCCAGGTCTCCACGGGGGCGGCAGCGGGACGGACGGACAGACAGACAGGAGCAGACGGACAGCGGCCAGGTGGAAGGTCGCCAGGGCAGATGGGCCGTTGGGCCAAGGAAGGGACGGGGAGAGCGAGCCTGGAGACACATCACCAGCACCCGCCCTCAGACCCTCCCCGCCCTCAGACCCTCCCCGCCCTCAGACCCTCCCCACACGCCCCCCGCGCAGCGGGGTCCTCTGACCGCTCCCGGCCCGGCCCGGGTGTCCGGCCCAGACCCCACGCTTAGGGAGCGGGGCGGAGGGAAGGACGGACAGACCCAGACAGGTCTGCAGGGGAAGGCATTCCGCTCCGAGGGGAGGAGGGGCCTGCCCGTCCTGGGCCGCTCCGACCGGGCCTCCCCCGCCCCCGCCGGGCCTCCCCCGCCCCCGCCGGACCTCCCCCGCCCCCGCCAGACCTCCCCCGCCCCCGCCGGGCCTCCCCGGCCCCCGCTGGGCCTCTCCGGCTCCGGCTGCTTCCTCTGCTCCCCAGGAGACCTCCCTCTGCTCGCCAGCAGACCTCCAGAGGAGCCTGGGCGCCGGATCCTTTTCTCAGTCGGAGCTCAGGCCCCTCAGCACCTGGTGCCCGGTTTTCTGGTTTTGCTGCTTTTCTGGGCCCAGATGCTGTTAACATAAAATCATTCAAACGTGGAAAGAACGTTTGTGAGTTTATTTGAACTAAACTGTCGACTAAAATATCAATCTCAATGAATTAAGATCCTGCTCCGGAGAAGGCCGGTTCCATCTGTATTTGCACATCGCAATCCGAGGAGGGACATAGGTGGGTGACATGAAATCCATGGGGGCTGGACCAGAGGCAAAGCAAAGCAGGGCTGGACCAGAAGAAGCAAAGCAGGGAAACCCCCCGGGGTTGGATAAAAAGTGAAATGATGGACGAATACCTAGGTGGGTGCAGGAACAATGGACATGAAGATGAAGGAATCTGTGGTCTCCGTCCCAGCCCCGGCCCGTTAGATTGTGCCCCAGGGCCTCCAGAAAAAGGGAGCTTACAAGTTACCCACGTTTCCGAGGTGTTATCACAGATACAAAAAGACAGAGGGCTCAGTTGAGATAAAGGTTGATCTTGTCAGTGAAGATGCCCGTGGTAATTGCTTTAGTTACAGTTTAAGGTCAGACCGTCCTTTGAGGGACTGTAGGTCTGAGTCTGCAAGGCCGCCACGCAGGCCGCCCCTGAGCGGCCAGGTCAGCACGTGGCCCCTTCTGTCCACAGCCGTCGGGAGGGAGGAAGGTCCGGGGGTCCCACCCTCAGGCCCAGCGAGATGCTGGGGGAGGAGAGGTCACCCGGGGGCGAGACCCCCCTTGTCCTTGGTTACCTCAGGGGGCTTTCCCCCTGGTGACCTGGGCTGGCCCTTCGCCCCTGCTCTGCCCGACTGTCCAACTGCACACACATACCTTCTGCCCCCACCGTGGGCTTAAGGGGCCACAGCTACACCGGCCAGCGCAGGGAGCCCGCGTGGCGGCCTCACACCCGGGGACGAACCAGCCCCCCAGGAGGGAGAGGATGACAGCTTGGTAACGGGAACTGCTCGCGGTCGTTCATCCCGTCCCGTTAGACCCTCCCTGCCAAGGTCAGTCTGACCTCCCCCGAGCCGGTCACTGCCGTTGGCATTGCCGTCGGCATCGGAGAGAACGCGCCTGGCAATGTCAGGGAGCTTCTCCAGACCCCAGGGCCCAGCCACACCCAGGGCAGCGCGGAGTCCTCTGCTGTCGCTGCGGCCGGAGCCGGTGCCCGTGGACGGTGCGTGTCCATCACTTCCCGCCTCCCGCTCCCCCGGCCCGCTCTGCCCCCGCCCCCTGCCCCCCCCCCAGGGGGAGCCCCCGGGCCCGGAGCCCTGGACCTTGAGGAATGACTGCTCCTCCTGAGGCCAGTCCGGCTGACTCTGGTCCTGGGAGTTGGTTTGGCGCAGACACACCCCCGCCCCCGGGCGGTCCGGGGCGGGAGATGGGGGAGGCGGTGGGGGGAGCGGGCGGTCCGGGGGCGGGAGATGGGGGGCGGCGGTCCGGGGGGCGGCAGGCCGGTCCAGAGGCCCCCAGGCCGGGCGCCGAGCTCGGGCGGCGGCGGGAGGCCCGGGCGTTGCTCTGCTCGGCGCCCCGCCTGCCCGGCCCGGGCCCCGCCTCGGACCCGCAGCCAGACCCAGGCCCCGCCTTCAGACCCAAGCGCCCCCGGGGCTCCGGAGCCCGCCCCGAGCTCGGCTCCCGGGTCCCCTTCCGCGGGGTCGGAGGGAGGGGGCGCTCCGGCCGGGCCCTGCGGGTCCTGGGGGCGCCCAGCCGCCCTGTCTGGAGGCCCAGCGCCCGGCAGCCCCGGCCCCGCCACGGCCCGCCCCCAGGTCCCCCCCAGGTCCCCCGGGCCGGGATCTCCGGTTCCGCCCCAAACTCCCGGCCTGGCCCTGCCCCGGACCCCGCTGGCCCCGCCCCACCCCGACGCCAGGCCCCGACCCCCGCCCCCAGGCCCCCGGCCCCGCCCCAGGCCCCCGTCCCCGCCCCAGGCCCCCCGTCCCCGCCCCAGGCCCCCCGTCCCCGCCCCCAGGCTCCTCGGCCCCGCCCCCAGGCCCCGGCCCCGCCCCCAGGCCCCCCGCCCCGCCCCCAGGCCCCCCGGGCCCGCCCCCAGGCCCCCCGTCCCCGCCCCCAGGCTCCTCGGCCCCGCCCCCAGGCTCCGGCCCCGCCCCCAGGCCCCCGTCCCCGCCCCAGGCCCCCCGTCCCCGCCCCCAGGCCCCCGGGCCCGCCCCCAGGCCCCGGCCCCGCCCCCAGGCTCCCCGGCCCCGCCCCCAGGTCCCCCGGGCCCGGACCTCCAGGTCTGGCTCCAAACTCCCGGCTCCCGGCCTGGCCCCGCCCCCGCCCCGGAGCCCCGCCCCTCCGACCCCGCCCCCGGCCCCGGCCCCGTGTGCCTCTCGCCCTCGGACCGGCGGCCGGTGAGCTGGAGCTCGGGGTGCAGCCCCTCGATGGCCGGGGTGGGGGGTGGGAAGGGGTGTGCGGGCGCCTGGGACCGGAACGCGGGCGGGGGCGGGCCAGGCGCCGTCCGGTCCAGGTTCGGGCTGACCCCCGGGGGCCGGGGCGCAGGGCGGCCTCACCTCCTCTCTCTGTCCAAGGCTGAGCTCCGCCAGGCCTGCCCAGCTCCGGACCCCGGGCCGCAGTCCGTCCCCGGCCGGACGCCGTGAGTTGTGGGGTGCTGGAGGCGCTGCGGGGCGCGGGTCCAAGGCCCGCGGAGCTGCCCGGGGCTTCCGGGGCTCGGCGCGTCCCTGCCCTGGGCTCCTGGTAGCTGGGACACCCCGGGCTCCCGGGCTCGGTGTGTTCCTGGGGGGGGCACGGTCCGGGCTTCTGGGACTGAGTGACAGACAGGGTGGGCTGGGCGAGGCCTGGCTCCGAGCCCCTCACCAGCCCTGGCTTCGTCCCACCGGGACTGAGCCGCATGCCCGCCTGTTTGGAACCCGCCTGCGGAGTGACAGGAACCCGCCGGCCCGGCCGGGCTAGGGAGCTGACTTTGGAGGCCTGAGGGGCCCCAGTGGCAGTGCCCCCCACACCGCCCCGCCCCGGGCTGGTGTGGCAGGGCACCCCGGTCCCAAGGCAGCTGCCACCGCTCCGGCCATCACACAGGGCAGCCAAGGAGGTGGCTGCCCTTCCAGGAAAGCTGAAGCCGCCCCTGCAGCCCCCCACCCCCCACCTGGTCCAGGAGGGCGCCCGCCCACGCCTGGGGACAGGGCAGGGGACCAGGTGGTCTTAGCACCGGGCTGGGGAAGAGGAGAATCCTGCCCACAGCGGGGAAGGGGCTGGAGGCAGGAGCTGGCCCGCCCTCTCCCCACCACCCTCCGCAGCGGAGCCTCCCTCCGCCTGGCTGCTCTGCCTGGGGCCTCGGGCCAGGGCCTCGGGCCAGGGCAGGCTCTCTCCTCTCCCGGAGAGGGTGAATACGGGCCTGGAAGAACTGCCTGGGGCTGCGAGGACTGGCTGCTCCGGCCCAGGGGCCCTCTGTGCTTTCCTCAGTCCTCGCCTGCGGGTGTTTTTTTCATTGCTTTTTCAGGAAGAGTGGGGGGGGGGGAGAGGAAAAGGGGGAGGGGGAGAGAAAAATGGATGTGACACGTTGACTGGTTGCCTCCCACACATGCCCTGACCAGGTTCCAATCGAAACCATGACCCTTCTGTCCTTGGGCTAGGCTCTAACCACTGAGCCCACGGGCCAGGGTGCTCGCTGTGTCCAAGACTAGCTGGGACCCAGGCCAGCGTCTCCCAGGCTGGTGGGGGCTGAGCCAAGACCTCCCAGCAGGCCCAGGCGCCCCAAGCCCGGCTCCTCCCCGCGGGCAGTGCTGGGAGGGACTGGAGAGCCTCAGGCCAGAGCCCAGCTGCTGGGGCCCCGGCTCCCACCCCCGCAGGCTGAGCAGTCCCAGCGCAGCCACAGCCGCAGCCGCAGCCCCCTCCTTTCCTTCCCGGCCTCCAGAGACGGCCGGCCTTCTCTGCCGGGGATGGGCAGCAGGAAGCGGTCATAGGCCCTGGCTGGGCCCGGAGGTCCAGGCTGGGCAGACAGCGCATTCCTGAGCGCTTGGTTCTTGGACTCCGGGCAGAATGTCCACTCGGCCCTCCCATGTGACTGGGCCAGCGCTCACACTGCCCGGGTGAAGTCTGCCTCAGTGTCTCCACCCTCCCTCGCTGTCCGCAGGGCTCGCTCTAGCTGTGCCCCACGAGGCCGCCAGCTCGCCGCCCGCATGGAGCCCCAGGCCCCCGGTGTGCAGTACAGCAGGTGGGAGGAGGTCAGTGTGGGCGCTGGGCCCAGCCCAGAAGAGGCCTCCTGCTGGGAGAGGTGAGTGGGGGGCAGCCCCCCATCCTGCCAGCCTCGCTCCACACCCCTGGGTGCCCCCTCCCCTGGCATCTGAGCAAACCGGGGCCTTCCACCTCTGCTCCTTCCCGCAGGCTCCCTCCCACACCCAGCAGAGCGCCTGGCACCCCACTTCCTTTGGGGCCTACCTGCCCTGGGGCTACCCACCCTGTCCTGCCCTGTGCTCAGGGCTCATGGCGGCCCTCTCACCCTAGGCTCTCCCAGGAGCTGTGCTCGGGCAGGCTGGGCGCCACCCTGAGGATGCTGGGAGGCCTGGCCCTCTTCTGGGTCATCTTCATCCTGGGCTACATCACCGGCTACTTCGTCCACAAGTGCAAATAGTGCCGCCGGGGCCACGGGCACGGGCCCCCAACACACAGCCTGGACAGCCTCTCCCCCATACCTGTAGCTGTACAGACCCCCCCTCATATACATGTACCCCCGTACAGACCCCCCACATACACACATCTGTATAAACTCCCCCATATACACACACCCCTATCAGACCCCTCACATACACACACATCTGTGTACAGACGCCCCCACACGAGGCCCCAAAAGCGTTGAGAGGAGCCGTGTGCGCCCTCTGCCCGCCCTCCCAGGGGCCACAACCTGCCCTGGAAGCCACTTCCCAGGCAGAGCAGGGAGCAGCCCCCACCCCCGTCTTTCCCTGGGCTGTGCTCCTGGGGCGGCCCCGCGGGAGGGGACGCGTTTTAGTCATTAAACGTCTGGTGAATGAAGGACACGGATGGCCGTGGTCCCCGGGCCAGGTGTAGCTGGGGGCACCTGGACAGCTGTGTGGGCTGTGGCGAGGGCCTGCCCCTCGCTGGCTGCCTGGCCAGGGCTCTGGGACGTGCCCTCCGGGCTGGGCCAGAGGCTAGCCCTGCTCCTGTCCCGGGCAGGCAGCTCGGGGTGAGGGTGGGAGGTGAGCTACTGGAGGCACCTGGGGCTGGTCGGGGACGTCCGGGGAGGCTGCTGACCGGAGCCGCGCACCCACACGCAGCCTGTCACTTGGGGCTTGAGACCTGACCCCCAGGGACCCAGCTGCACACACAGGACTGGTCCCAGGTCCCGGGGCCACGTACGAGGCGAGGCACAGTCCTTGGGCCCCGCTGAGTTGCTGCCCAGCCTCTGACAGGCCGGGGAGTGGGCAGATCCTCTGGCCCCACCCGGAAAGCGGCCGCAGGAGCAGGCGCTCCCAGTAGAGGTCGCCACGGAGGCAGGATGGGGAGCGCGCCCCGGAGCAGCAGGCGGGGGAGGGGTGTGGGGGGGGTTCGTCACCGTGGAGGTCGCAGCTGTCCCACCACCTGCCACTGAACTCAGGCCTGGAGGACGGGTGGCTGGGCTGTGCCCCCTTCACGCTCCACTGTGACCCTCGGAACCCGTGCCACCCAGTGTCAGCCCTGACTGCCCGAGGTGCTCAGTGTGAGCGGGGCGCCACACAGACCTGCGCAGGCTGGGTGGGAAGGGGGCAGAGCAGCAGGGAGAGCTGATGCCGGTCGCCCATGTTGGCGGGGGAGCCCCAGGACAGCGGTGTGAAGGCCTGGCGGTCCAGAGCCAGGTCGGCGTCAGCCACCACATCCCGCAGAGCAGGCTGGCTGAGCTCACACGCCCTGCGCACGCCTGGAGCTGATGGCTAGACGCCCCCTCCCCAAAATGGGCCAACGGTCCTTTGCAGGTGGAGCCGTGGAATAAATGGCATCGCGAAACTGGAAGCTAGGAGGCCGCTCCCGAACCCAAGCACATGGCCCCGGGAAGGGGCACAGGCGTGCGCTCACACAACACGCACACACAGGCGGTTCCTGCAGAGACTTTTAAAGCCAGAAACCCCTCCAGTGTGCGATGCTGCAGCCCCGCCACCTGCACCTCCCCACAGGCTCCTCACAGCCGCCTCCCCAGCCCGCCGCCTCCTCCCCGGCAGGGGCCCTCTCCACCGCGGCCCTCAGCCCGCTGAGGTGACTGAAGCCCCTGTGGGAAAGGACCACTTGGCCGCGCGTGCGCAGCGCCCGCAGCGGGGAGGGGCGATGCCCACTGCGCAGGCTCCCTGGGCGGCCGCCGCGCAGGCTCCGGAGCAGCTGTGTCCACGCGACCCCAGGGTGCTCACGGGGCAGCGCGCTGCCGGAGTGACGCACCCAAAGCCTCGGCGAGAGCTGGAGAGGCAGGAGAGTTTAAGCACGTGACAGCGTGGCACACGTGACAACATGGCAAGCCTCTGCAGCAGAATCTTCTGGAATCCGGACAGAGAACGCAGTTTAAAAACCGCCCAGGAGACAGGGTAATGGATAGTAACTCAGCACCCCGTGAGCCCCAGGGGGAGACTGTCCAGGTGTCTGGCGGCCTCAGCGGATGACCGTCACGTGGGCAGCGGCGATGTCCAGGTCCGTCTTGGACGGGTACACCACCTTCAGGTGCCCCTCCTCGTCCACCACCCGCACCTGCTCCACCACCAGGGGGGCGCTCCCGTCGCACTCCGTGCTGGGGGAAGGGGCGTCGGCGTCGGTGTCGGAGCCCTCCTCCTTGCTCCCTAAGGTGTATTTGTTGATCTCTGCCATTTTCTGCAAAGGACCAGAGGTCAGGGGCGGCCTGGGAGACCCCGCGGTCCCCTGCCCGCCGCCTGCAGGCGGCGCTACTCACCAGCACGAGGGCGTCCATGATGTCTTTGCAGATCTGCAGGCTGGTCGCACTTGTCACCTCCAAAAACAAGTCGGAAGTTGTTTTCTTAATCTTAAAGAGAAAGCGGGCACTTTTCAGAACGGAGACGTTACCCGCAGCAGACACCAGCCACGGCAGCTGCCCCGCCCGCCCACCTTGGTCTTCTCGCTGTTGGTTATGGGTGGGAAGGATATGGCGTCGCCGTCGGCGTCCAGGAGGCAGGGGTACTGCTCCTGCCCGTCCAGCAGGTGGAGGTATCTGCGGAGAAGCCGGTGACAGCGAACTAGGTTAAACAGGCAAATCCAAGCCCTGACCCCAGGAGAGACGGGCACGTCCCCCAGCTCAGGCCCAGTGTCCAGACACGGAGGGCATGGATGGCTTCTGGGGGGAGGCAGGGCCAGGCCCGTGGTCATTCCCGCCACGGGAAACCTGGGGGTGGGGCTGAGGGTTCGTCACCCTAGGGCTCGGGGTGACTCAGATCCCCCACCACCTTCGCCACCCTCCTGAGTGACCCAGGCTCCCTCAGAGTGGCCACCCCTGCGGCCAGGCCACACAGCACCGCCTCGTACCCGCCCCGCAGGGGGGCCCTGGCAGGAGGGATGGCTTCGGGGAGAGGCCTAACGGGGCCGGGGCCGGGCACCTGTGCAGCCCCGACACCGCCTGCCGCCTCTTCTGCTTCCGGCGCTCCTCCGCCTCCTGCTGCAGCTGCCGCACTAGGTCCTTGGCCTTCGCCTCCTTGCGCCCCAGGGGCACGATCTTTGGGGTGAAACCTCAGGTCAGCTCATGTGGAAACACTGAACCACTCACCCCAGCAGCCCCTCGCCCCGTCACCTCCCCCTCCCCCTTCACGACGGGAGCGCCAGCTGTCCCACAGCTGCCACCGTCCCCGCATCACGCGTGCTCACGTGGGCCTCAGAGGGCACTTGGCCCCCAAACCCACGCCCCGGCACTTCTGAAAATGAGCTGAGCCTCGATCTAGGGCCCCCCTGCCCCCACCTCCCGCCCAGGAGAGGCCAGCGGAACAGGCCGGACCTGGCGGGACAGCTGGCCGAGGTCAGCTTGCGATGGGGGTGCAAACGGAGGTTTTGGCTAAAAGCGAGTGAGCGAGCAAGCGAAGGGGCTGCCTTTCTCGGTCCCACTCCCCAGGAGCTGGTGCTGGGCGCGAACAGGGCCCTGCCGCCCGGGAGCCCCGGCCCCGGCCCCCATGGCCCGCAGGGTGCGGCACCTTGAGGTCCTGGGGTGGGCGGGCGGTGTACAGCAGCGGCCGGCGCACGGCGCGCAGGTCGTGGGTCGCGATGGTGGCCGCCGTCCTCTTCTCGCAGAGGTCCTCGTGCAGCTTCGTCTGCAACACGAGACGCGGCGGTCAGGGCTCAGCGTGCGGGCCACAGGGTGCCGCGGGCCAGGCCTGCGTGCAGCACGGAGGGGGGTGCCCGCCTGCTCCTCACCCAGCACCGCTGGCGCCGCACCCACCTGAGCGGTGAGGAAGCGCTTGAGCGCGTTGCCCGTCTGCAGGTCCATGCCCCTCACGACGGCGCCCACGAGGAACGGCCGCACGCCCCGGACCTCGGCGCCGGCCGTGACGGTCAGCGGGGCGGGGTTCTCGGAGACGTGCAGCACGCGGAGCAGCAGCCGGCTGGCCTCGGCCACCTCCTCCTCCCCGCCCTCGCCGCCCTCCCTCTTCCTCCGCTCCCTCCGCTGGCGCCGGCTCTCCTCCTTCTCGGGCTCGGCCCGGCCCCGGCCCCGGCCGCGGCCCCCGGCCCGCAGGTACTCCAGGACGGACTTGGTCTGGCAGCTGCCCAGCATCTTCTCCAGGCGCCGGTCCTTGAGCTGGTTGCCCTGGAGGTTCAGCTCCTTGAGCTTGGGGCAGTCGGCCAGCTCCGCGGGCACCTCGCTCAGCTGGTTATTGGCCAGGTCCAGCGTCTGCAGGGCAGAGAGCGCGTCAGGCAAGGAGCACCCCACGCCCCGGCGATGCAGCCAGGGGTCTCCATGAAACACCTGCCCTGCCCTCAGGCCTCCCGGGGTCACAGCTGGGTCAGAGAACAGGGCAGCGAGGCCCGGGGGACGCGCAATCCACTTGTGACACGTGGTGCCTCAGTGACAGCAGGGGCCACCACCGGCGCCGAGCTAACGGCTCTCTCCACACTGACATGCAGCGCAGAACACACGCCGCGGGCACACGGGGAACGGCCAACATGGCCGCTGTCTGCCCGGAGAGCAGGTGCAGATCCTGTCTTCAAAACAGAATCAAGCTCTGGCCAGGGTGGCTCAGTGTACAGAGTGTTGGCCTGTGGACCGAAGGGTCCCTGGTTCAATTCTGGTCAAGGGCACATGCCTCCAGTAGGAGGCAGCCAATAGGTGATTCCCATCACTCATGTTTCTCTCCCTCTCCCTTCCTCTCTGAAAGCAATAAAAAAATATTAAAACCACCACAACAAAAACAGGAATCAAATAAAAGGCGCCGAAGCCAGACCGGTCTTCAGCTCCCACGGGTCCAAGCAGCAGCAGGTCCCCAGCCCCAGGCTGTCCTGACATGGACGCCAGGCATTCTCCACTCAGGCTGGAGCGGACAGGGCGTGGCAGGCTGCATCTGCCCAGGTGACCTGCAGCTCCTCCCACCAAGAGGCGGGGCCTGCACCCAGCCCGGGAACCCTGGTCCGCAGCAATGGTGACAGGGCCGGGCAGCAATGGTGACAGGGCTGGACGGAGCCGGCTGCACACTGCCAGCAGAAGCACAAGCCAGGAGCCAGCCTGGCCCCCTAGCGCTGTCCCCGAGCCTGGAGAGCAGGGAAGGGCTGAGTGCCAGGTCAGGCCGGGCTGGTCTGCACGCAGCCCCGCCTGCACACGCGGCCTGCACTTCCAGTACTGCCCAGAGAGGCTTTGGCCCAGTAGCTGGCCAGTGGCACCTGTGTCACCCTCATCCCTGCACCACAACACGCTGGCCGGGTGGCTGCTTCCAGCATGGAGCCAGCAGGGAAGGGAGGGCGAGGGAGGGGCCCTGGAGAGCAGGGGCAGACGTGCTGGGGCAGGAGGCTGAGCAAGGTCCTCCAGGGGAAGGATGTGAAACCCGTCTTCGCTCCCAGTGGGATGAGCACATGGGAGTGGCCCCAGCTACTGCCTGGACCTGACACGGGGGACTTGGAGTGCTCCCTTCTCGCAGGTAACAACCCCCACGGGGCAAAGCAGCCAGTCTCTGAGCCTAAGCCGGACCTGCTGCTGGGAAGGACCCCGAGCACCTGGAGTGCGACCGAGAGAGCCCCACCCCGGAGGGGAGCGAGGACAGACGGGCTGAGGGCACCTCCGGCAGCAACTCAGGACAAAAACCCAAAAAAACGGAGGCAGGATTTTCCTTTTAATTTCCATTTCCCTTATCACCGGACACAGGGCTTCACTTCCAAGTTTAATTTCTCTGTGAAACCTGCGTGGGGAGTCCCACGAGTGAGGGACGCTGGGTGGCATGGCTCCTGGCAGGAGGGAGAAACCCTGGATGAGTGGTCCTCGTCCCGGCCGGAAGTTTGAGGTCCGTCTGTCCCGCCCATCCCTCCGTCAGTCCCAGATGGCAGCACCTCGGGTCTAAAAGCGCAGGCAGCCGGGGACACCAGGGTGCCACCCATCCTTGGCGTGCGGCAGCCCTGGCAGTGGGGCCCATGCCAGGGGCAGGGAAGCCAACTCCACACTCAGGTCTCTCCGGGGGCAGCCAAGCTGATGGGCCAGAGGCCCGGGGATGGCAACGCCAAGCGCAGGAAGGCAGAGAGCACTGCTCGGGAGGGAAAGCAGTCAATCTCGCCGCCGTCCTCGCCCCAGGTCCTGGGGTGGGAGCTGGGTCTGGGCCACCTCCCGGGCACCCCCCGCTCCGGGGAGGGGTGAAGAAGCCCAGGTCTGCGTTACTGGGGTGAGGGACCTGGGGGGACGCATCGCTTCCCAGGCCGGCGCCCGGCCCGCCCGCCGCCGCGTCGCCCTGCTGACCTTGAGCGAGGCCAGGTGGGCGATGTCGGGGCTGAGCTCCCGCAGGCAGTTGTCGGCGGCCGCCAGTTCGCTGAGCAGGGGCAGCGCGCCGGGGCGGAAGAGCTCGGCGGGGAAGGAGTCCAGGCGGTTGCCGGTGAGGTTGAGGGTCTGCAGGCGCGGGGCGCAGCGGGCCAGGTCGGCGGGCAGCTCGCGCAGCCGGTTGCCGCTGAGGTTGAGGGTCTGCAGCTGCGGGAGGCCGGGCGGCTCGGCGGGGCCCAGGCCCTGGCCCGGCGGCAGCGCCTCCAGCGCGTTGCCCGACAGGTCGAGCACGCGCAGCGCGGGCAGCGGGCCGAGCTCGGGGCTGAGGCCGGGGCCCAGCGCGTTGCGCCGCAGCACGAGGCTCTGCAGCTGCGGGAGGCCCCGCGCCAGGCCCGGGCCCGGCTCGCGCAGGCTGCCGCAGCCGCTCACCTCCAGGTAGTGCAGCAGCGACAGCGAGAAGAGCCGCGGCGGCAGCCGCCCGCCCGCCGCCCGCACCCGCTCCTCCAGCGCCGGCCCCGTCAGCAGCAGCTCCCGCCGCCGCTGCTGCTCCGCCTGCTCCAGCTCCGGCCAGGCCTCCGGCACCGCCGCCGCCATCGCGCCGCCGCCCCCGCAGCCCGCGGGGCGCTTCCGGCGTGCGCGGCGCCACTTCCGGCGCTGACCGGAAAGAGCCCCAGCGCTAGCGCTCCGGTGTCCAGACAGCCTGGGCGCCCGAGGTTCCGGCCGCGCCACGGCTCCAAGAGTCCGCCCCGCCCGCCCCGCCCGCCCCGCCCGCCCCGCCCGCCCCGCCCGCCCCGCGGGGTCGTCCTGCCGGCTCTGGGGAGCAGCGGGGACGCGCCGCCGCCGCGGGGGCCGTGGCGGGGACCCTGTGCCCAGAGGCGGAGTGACCAGCCCATGGGCACCTGCACCTCCCGGCCCATCGGCGATGCCGGGAGAGCAAGCGGCCCAGGAGGCTTAGAACCCGGGCTCCGCCGCTGTCGTGGGGCGGGAGGGCGGCCGGGGAAGGGGCGACCGTCTGCCGGGTGCCGTCCCCTCTAGTCCCCTCCTGACAGGGCGCACCGCCCTGGCCCGGGGCACTGAGGGTTGATGGCGGTGGCTCCTTGGGAGGGTGTGTTCGGGCAGCTGGGTGCCCAGAGGCCTCCCCGCATTGGCGGGTTTGCCAGGCCCACCGGTCAGAACCCGCACACAAGCCGGCCAGTCCGGGGGCCTGCGGTGCTCCGGTGAACGGCCTGGGTGAGGCCACTGCCAGGACATAACGGCTGCCGTTTATGGAAGCTTTGAAAGGGCGCCGGGTCCACCCCACATGGTGCTGCTCAGCTCGGCGCGGGGCCATGGCGGGGCGGGGCGGGGCGGCGGGTGAGGGGTGCCGGTGCCCAAGGCACCAAGGCTGTGACGGCACTGGAGATAGGTGGGCCTGTTCCCTTCCATCGCGCCTCATGGACCTCCGTCATCCAGCCCTCCCCAGAGGTCACTGCGCAGCACACCTCCCCCCCAAAGCAGGGTACCCCAAGTTCAAGTTAGGACCTCTGTGTGTAAGGGAAAAGCTGTACATAACTTAAAATAGAGACAATTGTAAAATTACCAAAGCTGATAGGAGCTTAAACCCACCCACACGTACAGAGGAAGTGCTGCCATTTTCCTTATTTGAAAAGCAAACGGCCTCACTGGTTGGAGGGCACAGGAGACTGGCTGGAACCCTCTCCTGCGGCCCAGCACTCCCTGTACACCTGCCTTCCTGCCCAGGTTAACCTGGTAACTTCCTCTGCTTTATCTGCAGTTTAAAATCTCTTCCCTTCTTCAGCAGTAAATCCACTTTGACAAATAACTTTTTTAAGGACCAAACTCTCTCCCGCAATGTACCATTCAGTTTTACAGAGGGAAATAGACCCTACAAATTGCTTTTAAATTATCGAAATAAAAGTGAAATGTGTAGTGACCTTTTTATTATATGAATATTTGAGGTGAATTAACTAAGTCCTGAATAGCAACAAAAATATATTACTCAGATACTTTATAGTTCTGATATCTGAAATGTAAATAGAAAACTATGCTAAAACATTTAAAAAATTGCAAATTTTAATGAAAAGTATTTACATTTGTATTCTAATGCCAATTTACACATAGAATTCTTTTAAGTTAGATGGATAGGCTATTCTGAAATATAAAAAGAATATTGTTAAATACCCACAACATATTCATGAATAAAAGTTCAACTATTACTGTTCCAAATTCAGATGGTACTTAAGGCCGATAGAGCTGTTCCTTTTACTCTTTTACCCGATTCTTGGTTCACTCGAAGCTTCCACGGCCACAAACCACTGCCACGGGTCATTTCACTACCAATGCATGAAGCTTCTGTAACCAGCAAGGCTAACCTGTTTTATTATTTATTTTTTAAAACATATTTTATTCATTTTTTACAGAGAGGAAGAGAGAGGGATAGAGAGTTAGAAACATTGATGAGAATCATCGACCAGCTTCCTCTTGCACACCTCCTACTGGGGATGTGCCCGCAACCAAGGTACCTTGATTGGAATCGAACCTGGGACCTTTTAGTCCACAGACTGACGCTCTATCCACTGAACCAAATCGGTTTCGGCTGTTTTATTATTTTTATTTAAAATATATTTTTATTGATTTTTAGAGAGGGAGGACAGAGAAATATCTATGAGAGAACAGAACATCCATCGGCTGCCTTTTATGCATCCCTGCTGGGGCTGGAGCCAGCAGCCTGGGCCTGTGTCCTCACTGGGAATTGAACTGGCAAACTCTGGTGAATGGGACAATGTCCAACCGAGCCACACTGGCCAGGGCAAGACTAACCTGTTTTAAATGCCCCTAGTTTTGTCAGTCACTGAAAACTGAACATTTTACAACTATTTTTAAATTATATAGAAAACACTATATTTAAGTTTTGTTTGGAAAGAAAAGAATAATTATTAGTTAACTTTTTTCATTATTGTCCCCTTTAAAAAAATGTCTTATCTGTATTTAAAAAATGGATTAGAAAACGGCCAACATCTTGTGAAGCCGAAAAGGATAACTTTGTGATCATCTCGGTGCTGTACTCCGCTTGATCGGAGTTTTACCTGTCTCCCCACACGTCAGTGTTCCCTAAAGGGAGTTTTGTTGGCCGTCTTGCTCAGCATTTCTAGTCAAGCACACGAGAAGGTGTTAATTTACCAAAAATGGTGGCAGATAGTGCGAACCCATGGTTGCTAACGTGGCTGGAAACACGCTGCTCCAACAGCTGCTTACGTGTCCTAGTTCCCAGGCTGCGGACTAGAATACCGGTACGCCAGCTGTGGCACATGCCATCCCTTCCGGCCGGCTTTCCGATAGCCTGCCCCAGCTCGGCAGTGGGCGTCGGGCCCCTGGCCACGAGGGGACAGCGAGGACAGCTGCTGGGTCCAGTGGGGCCCCGCCTGGATGGGCAGACCTGGACGTGGCCTAGCAGGCCTCAGACAGACACTGGCTCTCTTCCCTCCCCTCCCCCCAGGGCGCCCTGGAGATGAGGGTTTGGTTGTGTCACTGGGAGTGATGTTTTGGGTTTAAGAATTACCTAGATGTTTGAGAAAAGTGCCCTCAGCTCCGATTCCAGCCTGGCTTTGAGGGGGTGGGGACAGGGACGGGGACAGGCCAGCTCAGACGTGAGTGCTGGAGGGACCAGGTGTTGGTGACCGCTATTGCCCTCAATTAACCTTTATTCTGTCGGAGAGGGAAACAGGCTCCGCAGCGCTGCCTGCGGGAGAAGGCGTGAGAGAAGGCACGGGGCAGGGATGGTGGGCTTGAGCCGCCCCCCTCTCCTGTCCTGTACCGCAGGACCACAGCCGTGGCTGAGACAGACCACACAGGCTCCTGCGAAGGAAGAGGGTGCTGTGCTCAGGGACACCTGGCTCGGCCCGGCACTGCTCCAGGAGCCTCTCCAGTGCCGGTTTGGGGTCTCTTCCGAAGCGCGGCTACGCCAGTGGCTCCTGCCCGAGAGTCAGCCCTGCCCGCTGGACACGGGAGGGAGCGCTGGTGGTTGTCCAGCCGCATGCCCGTGTGAGGACAGCAGGGAGCAGGGCACCGGCCGCAGACGCTGCTAGGAGACATGTGCATGGTCAGGAACTGCTGGGTCCGCTCGCTCCAGGGGCGCAGGCCCGTGGGTCATTGCCTCCTGTAGGTCCTGCCGGGGCACTTGCTCTGGCCCCCCTTTGGGGTGGGGATCTTGCTTCCAGCCTTCGGCCCCGAGGTCCCCGGCTTGGCCGTGTCTGGGCCTCTGCCTGCGGTGGACAGGACAGAGCAGAGGCCCCGTAAGGAGGAGACAGATGCCTGGGCGGGAGCACCGGCCCCTGACGGCTCGGAGGCGGCGTCCGAGGACTGGGGGTGGGGAGAGGACCGCAGGAGGGTGGGACTGAGCTGGCCTGCCCGTGGGGGGTCGGCAGAGGACGGCGGTCACTGGTGATGACGCACGGGGGTGGCAGGAGAGGAAGCACCAGGAGCTCAGAGGAAACGGCCGGCGGTCGGAGAGGCCGAGCCGTTTGCCGCTTTTGGCTTCGATAGTTCAGCTCCAGCAACGGAGAATGAGCAGCCACGTGGCTGGGGCTTCCTCCCTGGAGCATGACCCCCCCCCCACCCCCCGCCCCTTGTGTCCTGGTTTACAGGGCGGTATGGGACCAGGGTGTGCAGCCCGCTCAGCGCCTGGCACAGACACACACTCGCTGCTTACTCTCGCTCAGGGCCTGCAGTGGAGTGCAGCTGGGCCTCGCGGCCAGAGAGTCTTCTAGTGAAAAGCATTCCGGGTCTGACTTAAGCCACTGCCTAAGGACCTGGCGCCGGACGGGAAGCCGCCCTGGCCGCGTGGCCGTGGCCGTGGCGGAGGCGGGGCCGTGCTCACCCTGTGGCAGAGCCGGAGCCTTGAAGAGCAGGCGCATCCGGCGCATGTTCATCGCGCAGCCCACGGGGCCCATCAGGTGCACTTTCCACGCCTGGAACGAGAGGCCGCGGTGACCAGGAGGCGGGCCTTGCATTAAGGAGACGGCAAGAGGCGCCGCGCAGCGGGGGTCTGTGGCCTCAGAGTGCTCTGTGCACGGCCCCTCGGGCCTCAGCCCACCTCCCATGGCCCTCCCCAGGCGGCGCCCAGTGAGACGCCCAGGAGGGTGTGCGGAGGGTAACAGTTCAGGGAGGGCATGGGGGGAGGGGGCCAGGTGGCCTGGAGCTGAGAGCAGGAGCACAGGGCAGCCTGGCTAACAGCCGCCGGGAAAGGGGATCCGTGCTCCGTCCTCCGCTGACAGAGCCAGCAGCCCCGCTGCCCTGGAGGGAGATCTCCCCTGTGGAGCCCTCCAGTGAGAACACGCCCCCCCCCCCCCCCCCGCCACCACCCGGGGGGCCCCGTGCAGCTCCTGAACTGCCGAGACTGCGGGTGCTAAGGGGCCTGTAAGCCGCGCAGGTCACTGCGTGGGCAGCACGGACGGGCGTGGAGAAAGCCACGGCCTCAGAGTGTGTGCTGAGAGCCGTCAGCTCAGTGTGGGGCGAGAAGTCCAGGAACACGGGGCTGCGGCCCATGTCTGCGTGCTCGGAGCGGGGGGGAGGCCTGACCCGCTCCACCTGTGCAGCGTGGCTGCACGGGGAGGGAGGAGCGCTGGCAGCAGCTGGAAGCAGACTCTCCAAGCCCGGCCGCTGGCTCTTTCACGAGTCAAAAGGGACCAGAGTGACGGAGAGCGGCCACGCCACCAGGCAGGGCCCCAGGCAGGGCACAGACGGTCTGAGCCTCTCCCAGCGGAAGGACACGGACGGCACCAGACAGACCCTCTCAGACCCAGCTGGCCCCGCCAGCCTCACCTCCTCTCCGGGGGCGAAGTTCTCGTGGCACAGAGGGCACCGGTTGGCCAGCTTCTCTGGTTTGGCAGCTGAAATGGTGTCAGCGAGACAAGACTCAGTTGCCCTGTGGGCCGTGGGTGAGGCAGGGAGCCAGGGTGCCGGCGGCGCCCGGGGCCCGGCCCGAGGGGCACTCACGGTGGCAGTCCTTGGACTTGACATGCGTGGGCAGCTCCTCTTTGGGGACAGCCTCGCTGCAGCGGTAGCACCTCCCGAACCCGTCCCTCCTGTCGCACTCCGTCAGCAGGTGCTCCGTCAGGCTGGCGATCTCCACCACCTGCAGCCGAAGCGCAGGACAAAGCCGGCAGCTGCGGGCACCGGTGCAGCCCGTGCGTGTCCGCCCCGGCAGCCGGCACCACCCGTGCCCAGGGCCGTCTGAGTTCCCAGGCCGAGGTGAAGGACCTGCTGAGCTCGTCCTTTAGTTCCTCGGCCAAAGGCCTTCTCAGTCCTGGCCTGAAGGCACTGCCGTGCCGCCTTAGCACCCAGGAGCCCGCTCAGGACGGAGGGAGACGCGGCCGTCAAGCTGGACTGGCCTGACCTGACCTGTTGCCGTGGCCACCCCACCTGGCCTGGCCTGGCCAGACCTGACCTGTCTGCAGTGGCCGCCTGGCCTGGCCTGGCCAGACCTGACCTGTCGCAGTGGCCGCCCTGCCCCGCCTGGCTGGACCTGACCTGTCTGTAGTGGCCTCCCTGCCTGGCCTGGCCGGACCTGACCTGTTGCGGTGGCCTCCCCGCCCTGCCTGGCCAGACCTGACCTGTCCCAGTGGCCGCCCCACCCGGCCTGGCAGACCTGTCTGCAGTGGCCTCCCTGCCCCGCCTGGCCAGACCTGACCTGTCCCAGTGGCCGCCCCACCCGGCCTGGCCTGGCGGACCTGTCTGCAGTGGCCGCAGCGGGTCAGCATGAGGCAGTGCTTCCAGTAGTGCAAGTCCAGGCCCTCCTCCGTGAAGGACGAGCTCCGCTCCCCGCAGAAGATGCACAGGCTGCAACGAGAGGGGCGTGAGGCTGGGGGCCTCGGTGGCTGTCGGCGCCGCCCTCAAGCAGCCGGAGGCGGCGGAGGGCCTCCAGCAAGGGGTGGGGCGCTGGGGGCTCCTGTTAAACTGCCCTGAAGGGGCTCCACGGAGGGAGTCAGGGTGTCAGCTTCCCCGGTTCCCCTTCCAGCAGAAAGGACCCCAAGTCAGCAGAGGCAGAGATGTGCCTGGCTCGGTGCAGACCGCCCGCCCCGCCGGGGAGCCCTGCGGGACCCTGTGAGCCGGGACCAGCACTTGGGACCCATGGGCTGCCCCTGCCTGGCAGGGCCGAGGCTGACTGTGGGGCAGTGCCAGCCTGAAGGTGCTGGAAGGAGTGGCTGGTCTACCGGACCCAGCGGACTGGGAAGAGCAGCTCCGGGGCGAGGGCAGCTCCGGGGGCGAGGGCAGCGAACGCACTTGTCCAGGCCCGGGCTCTCGGAACTCTCGGGGGTGCTGCTTGGGGCCGAGCGCCTTCGGTCAGGGTCTGGGGATGACAGAGAAAGCAACTTCACTCGCTTTCCGTGGGACTACTCAGAGTTTAGCAGCCGCTTTTAAAGTCGGCGACGTGTGGTGTGGAATGTGTTTACACACCGTCACCGAGGGGACCTGCCGGCAGAGGTCTCCCTCGGCCGCAGGCGCCGCACACGTACCTGGACTCCTCGCCTTGGCCGCCTCCCTTCCTCTTTCCTAAAACAGAAGCAGAGCGTCAAGCCGGCGCTCAGGGCCAGTCTGTGCAGATGCGTCTCGGTCCTGAAAGTGCTCGTAATTTTGCTCTAAGTTCCTGCCGACACGGTGCTGCCCGCCCGCAACCCACGGCAGCCTCGTCCCACACAAAGTCCCGCTCTGGAAAGAGGCTCCCCTACTCAAGCCCTGCAGCCCCCTCCCCCGGCCTCCCTCCAGGGCCTGCAGCCCCCTCCCCTGGCCTCCCTCCAGGGCCTGCAGCCCCCTCCCCCTGGCCTCCCTCCAGGGCCTGCAGCCCCCTCCCCCGGCCTCCCTCCAGGGCCTGCCCAGGACTCCAGGGAAGCCCCTTTGTCAAGCCCCACCTCCCCAAATCACTCACCGGGGCTCTCACAGCACAGGCTCCCGGCCTTCCCGGGCCCTGCTCCACAGCCCTTCAGTCAGCTCCCAGGGCACCTGTGCACCTGCCTGCCCGGCCTGCCCCGCTGTCTGCCTCCAACATGCTCCCTCTGGGCCCAGGCCTGGGCGGTCTCTGTGCCAGGAGCCCCGGGCGAGCCTTCCGCCTGGCCCTGCTGCTCACTCGGCGCCTCTGCCCAGGCCTCTAAGCCCTCCCCTCCTCTCAGCAGCGGCCCTTCCGCTCTCCCCACTCCTGCCCTGCACGGCTCTGCCTCGGTCTGTCCTCAGCTGTCCAGTCCCTCAGGCCCCAAAACCTGGGCAGGCAGGCGCTTCTCTCCCCACCCTCCCTGCAGAGCCTCCAGCAGACACACCAGCACCCCGGGGGCTCGCTCACCCTCGCCCTCCCTCCTCTCTGAAGGGGCTCTGGACCCTCCCGACCGAGGCCCAGCCCCGCAGCACCCCGCCCGGCTCACAAGAGCATGCCGACGAGCGGGAGGGCTCCTCCGTTCACCCCGGTAAAGCAGAGGAGCGTGCGCATGAGCCGAGAAACTCACGTGCCGAGCGTCTGCGTCTGAACCCACGGTCACAGGGCTCCAACCCTGAGCCCAGGGTTAGGCCCTGTGAACCCGGCCCACCTGGCCCCCGGCAACTCAGGAACCCAGCCTCACACGAACCTCAGGCCTACGTGGACCCGGGCCCACCTGGGCCCGGCCGCACTGACCCCGCTCACCTGGCCCCGGCCGCACTGACCCCGCTCACCTGGGCCCGGCCGCACTGACCCCGCTCACCTGGCCCCGGCCGCACTGACCCCGCTCACCTGGCCCCGGCCGCACTGACCCCGCTCACCTGGGCCCGGCCGCACTGACCCCGCTCACCTGGGCCCGGCCGCACTGACCCCGCTCACCTGGCCCCGGCCGCACTGACCCCGCTCACCTGGCCCCGGCCGCACTGACCCCGCTCACCTGGGCCCCGGCCGCACTGACCCCGCTCACCTGGGCCCCGGCCTGCATGTCCTTCAGGGCGGCCAGCTGCCCCTGCAGAGCTTTGATTTCCTCCTCCTTCTGTCTCTCTGCCTCCTCCGTGGCTGCTCTCCTCTGTGCCTGGGTGAACATGGCGTCCGTTAGAAGGGCTCGGGGAATCGCGATTGAATTGGGAGACAAGTGACACGCTGAGTCGTCGCTCAGACCAACCGGGGGAGGGAGAAAGGCCAGCTCCAGCCGATGTCAGGGCTGCTTCCCTGCGGCCCAGACGCACTGTCTCAAGTCGCTCTCTCTCCAGGTGGGGGACGGCCTGGCAGGCACGAGGGCAGGCGGAGCTCGGCGGGCGCCTGCGCTCCCACCGGCTGAGTGTCTGTCTGACCCCCTCCTCCGCAGGCCCAGACCGGACTCCCACTTCCATGCACCTTGACCTCAGAGTCTGTGGGTCTGCCGTCGATTTTCGCAAAGCCCTCGAAGATGGTTTTGAAGAGGATGTTCTTGCGCGAGGTGCTGTCGTCGGGGGGCAGGTACCCGAGCACGTCGGTGCGGTGCTGCCGGTACAGGTCCAGGATCACGCAGACCGCCATCTCCCGCACCTGGTACACCCGGTGCTCCAGGGCCCGCACTGCAAACTGAGGGAGAGGCCGGTCCGCGTCACCCCGAGAGCAGGGAGGAGGGCTCCGGGCCCTGGGCTTGGGGCGAGGCGGCGCCCTCTCATTGCAGCGCCCTCTGCCTGGCGCCCTCGGCCTCGGACAGACGCAGAGTTTGTTCTGCTCTTGTCCACTCGCTGTGTCCATCTTGGCTTTCGGTGCACCTTTCCCTACACCCGACGTGCGCATCACAAACTGCTTACGCAGGCGAGGAGAGCCGGCTCCAGGCTCCCGTCTGGGTTACCAGGGTCACAGGTCCTGCTTCCAGCAATAAAGCGCTGGTGACAGGCTCCGCGCCTCCTGAGGCGGCGCTGGGAGGGCCTGCCTGCGCCTTCCCCTCGCAGTGCACACCCCGAGTCTGTCCCACACGTGTCGCGAGGCATCGATCCCACTCAGACGGACACTCCTGCTCACCTTCATCACGTTGTCCACGGTGAAGCCGGTGCTGTCGGTGCCCAGGTCTCGCAGCAGCCGGGCCAGCAGCGCCACCTGGCTGAGGGCCAGGTGCGCTGACGCGTTGGCCTTCAGGGGCTGCACCAGGTAGGACGGCACCATCTGCAGGGACCGCACTTCCTTGCACAGCGCCATCTCCTGGAAGAGCCGCATGGTTAGCCATCGCTCTGAACATGCTCCCTCTGACAGGACCCTCAGTCACCAGGAAGGAAGAGCCATCAAACACGGCAGTGACACGGGTGGGAGGTCACTGTCCCTAAGCTCACACGCGTGTAAGACACGGTAACGAGTAGAGCAAACCCAAAGGGGAGGAATGAGGCCTGGAGTTTAGTGGGAGCCTTAGAGAATGCTGACCAAGACCAGGCTTCTCCCCTCGGAATTCCCCAGGCACCGCCACGTTTACGCCTACGCGGATAAGCGCTTCCGAAGTCAAGGTTACAGAAAGACATGCCATCACCGCGTTACCCGGAGCAGAGAAGACGAGGGAAAACACTGAGCGAGAGGCCAGCGGAAGGCAGCTGGCGCTCAGAAGCTGCAGGGCCCAGCGCGAGCACCCTCTGCCTCCTCGCAGCTCCCCGTGCCCAGCCTGCACCGCTCAGCCGCCAGGCGCTCCTCAGCGACAGGCAGACGCCCCGGCTGGGAGCTCAGGGCTGCCCCGGCCGCGTGCAGAGCGAAGCCAGCCGTGCCTGGGCCCAGCGAGGCGACAGCGCCCCGACACTCAGAGCCAACGGGCTCAGCCCTCCGAAGGGGACGTGTCCGCCCTCAGCACGTCCCCCGCGCCCTCCCCCAGTGCCGCAGGAGGCACCGCAGCGGAGGATGCCTGTTCGCACCTGCGCTCAGCACCGCCCGTTTACCGACAGAAAGCGGACTCCTCGCAGGGGAGAGTGTCCGTGGGAATTACAGAAGCTCTGGGCCCCCTTCCGAGAAGATGTGGGGCCACACATTGGGGACGGACGTTTAGGAGACACCACACACAGGGCGGCTCCCACAGCTCAGGGCTCCCTCCCCTGGCCTCAGGCCACACGCTCGCTCCTCCAGAGGGAGACGTTCCCATCCGGACGGGGACACATTTGCTATAGTTTTCTCTCCCAATTTAGTTGGTCACACGTTTTTATTTTAACAGTGAACAGCGTGTGTTGGAATAGAGAAACACTAGGAAAGCAGTGGCCTTTCCGTCAACAAAGGGGCGTTCGTGTCCAAGACAACAGAGACCTTCGGAGCCCGGGAAGCCAGGAGGGCCGTCAGGAGGAGGCAGCGCTCCGAGCAGAGGGCTCTGCGCACGGCGCACCTGGATGAAGTTGGAAGCCGCGGCCCGCAGGCGAGCGGAGGAGTCCCCGGTGCGGGCGAGCAGCACGGGCACGGTCCTCTCCACACAGTGCGTCGTCTCCAGCTTGCTCAGCTTGTGCTTGGGGATGAACTGCGTGATGAGCATCTTCAGCACCTTCAGCGACGCCTGGAAGACCTGGGGCGGGAGGAGACGGCCTGTTCCGCCCGAGTCCCGCTAGGAGGGACGTGGACTTCCTGTCCGGGATAAACAGGAGCCCCATGCCATGCCTTCTAACGCGACTCTCTGACGGGTCCTCGTGTGCGGAGACCCTTGTTCTCACTTCCTGGTGCCAAGCACTCAATAGCTCGTGCCCTGGCACAGAGCCCCCCAAGCTGGGGAAGATCCCGTGCAGACGGCGGTGCGCCCCGGGGCACTCCCCGGGAGGCCTCTCGGAGTCAGTGAGCTCAACAGTCACTCCCCGCCCCTGGCCCGGATGCCCGGGAGCCCAGGCCCCTGCCGGCTCTGAAGAGCTCAGGGGGGTGTTCAGACCAGTGTGAGTGTCAGAGGGCCAGGGGCCCGGCGTGAGGGCATTCCTGAAGGCTGAGGGACTCACCGGGGTCACGATGTCCCGGAGGGACCTCCGGGTGAGGAAGACGGCTGCGCGCAGCAGGCCCCTCAGGTCCTCCTTCGGGGTCCCGGTGGGCGCGTCCACCAGCTGCTGGTACAGGGTGAGCAGGGCTTCCTCCCGGAAGGACCACACCTTGGAATAGGCCTTTGCCACCTGCGGGCGGAGCCTGCTTACTCCCTGGTGTGGGCGGCCTCTCCGCCCAGCACTGTCCACCCGAGCCTTTGTTCCAAGTGGAAAAACCACCTTTTCCAGAGCCAGGCCCTGCAGAGTGCGCCCTGGGCACCAGAGAACCGCTTTCTGAGGGACACCTAAGGCTGCTGAGCGTGGCGCGTGCTCTGGCGGGGAACAGGGACATGGCTGGGCTCCCTGTGCAGGCACCTGCTGCCCGTCCCGCTGTTGTTCCCGGGATGGCTGGTGGCACAGCCAGCTCCGAGCTCCGGGACAGTGTTGAGTCTCTCGCTTTCCTTTCCTTGTTTCACTCGCTGAGTGATCAGCACAAGACTCCCCCTTCCTCTCCCCCCCCTTCTCTCCCTCCCACAGGAAAGAATTCGGGCAGGTCCGGAGGGCACAGACGTGCCATCAGAGACGAGGCTGAGCCCGTCCACAGCCTTGCCCCCCCCCCCCCCCCCGTACTGGGCGTGGTACGTAAGCTGCACGGCGAGGGGGCTGCTGGGAAAGCCATGGTGGGTCTGGAGCCTGGTGTGGGAGGAGGCTCTACGAAGCCCGGACCAATGGCCAGGGAGGGTCCCCGGAAACGAGCCCGGACCACGCTGCAGGCGAATGACCAAGGGAAGTGGCCTCCACGGACGCGGCAGGTGGTCAGGCTCTTGGAGAAAGAGGGTCATGCTGGGAAAAGGGGCAGCAGCAGGGAAGGAGGGAGATCAGCCTTGCCCGGTGTGGCTCAGTGGATAGCGCGCCGGCCTGCGGACTGAAGGGTCCCAGGTTCGATTCTGATCAAGGGCATGTACCTTGGTTGCGGGCACATCCCCAGTGGGGGGTGTGCAGGAGGCAGCTGATCGATGTTTCTCTCTCATCGATGTTTCTGACTCTCTACCCCTCTTCCTTCCTCTCGGTAAAAAATCAATAAAATATATTAAAAAAAAAAAAAAAAAAAAAGGAGGGAGACCGAATGCTTGATGGGCTGAGTCCATAAAAAGCCGCAGGCAGGAGTCTGCGGGCATGAGCGGGGCCGAGGACAGGACACTGTGGCTGTCACTCGTTCACTCATGAGGTTGCTGTGCACATGCGCGCACGCTCCCACACGCTCCCACCCCCCCCCCCGGGCTTCCTCTTACCAGGCCTTCCCCCAGCACCTCGATGGCAGGGCTGGCTTCCCGCAGGGCCTTCTCCGTGAGGGGCTCGGGCTCGCCGGCAGCAGCCACTCGGGGGGCCTCGCTGGTGTCCAGGTCCCGCTTCTCCGGCTCCTCGGCCGCCCCGGGCTGCTTGTGGACAGCGGGAAGGGGGCGCTCGTCATAGGGCACGGCCTCGGGCTGCAGGGGAGGAAGGGGCTGCAGTGCTCCCGTGTGGACCCCGACGCCACCCGTCTACGCGGCAGGCTCAGCGCCGTGGCCTCCCAGGCTGAGCGAGGGCACGTGCTGAATCCATGTCGTCAGAACACACTGTGCGACAGCAGGCGCAGCTGACAAAATGCAATGAGGGTTCTTCCCCCTCCCCCATCGCAGCCTAATGAAAAGCGATGCCAGTGCCGCCTCCTACCCTTTGCCTCCAGCGGGTCAGCTCAGCGGGCAGGCAGGCCGTTTCCCTAGTCACGGCTGGAATGTGTCCCCCCCGAGCTCCCGTGCCCACTGTCCAGCGGCCCCCACGTTTCCCCCACAGGCGTGGGCTCTCCTGAGCTGGCCGGGAGACGGACATGCAGACAAGTCCATGTGACGCGGACTTTAGGTGAGGGCCTGCTCGGGACAGCACCCCCCGCAGGCGCCTGGCCCGCTGCGGAGTGACCTCCCGCCACGGGACTGGGTACGTACGCGGGCCTTGCCGGGAGAGTGAGTGGAGGACAGCTGCTGGTCCGAGGAGCAGGGCAGGGAAGACATGTCCAGGGAGTTGGACGAGGGCTGCTCCAGGAGGCTGTCTGTCACTCTGTCTTCCTGAGGGGGCAGCAGCTGGTAGGAACTGCTGGACTGGGCGAGGGGCTGCGGTGGCAGATCCAACGGCCGTGGCACCAGCTCCGTGTCCACGAGGCTGTGCAGCTCCAGCTGCGAGTACACGCGGGCGCGGTACTCCTCCATCTGCCGCTTCTTGTGCTTGGCCAGGTCGTAGTCCTCCTTCTCCACGGCACAGCGCTTCTCCACCTCGTAGCGCCCCAGCCGTTCCCCGACCTGCGTGTGCACAACACCGTCTCCGCGCTCCGCCGCCCACGCAGACAGTGGTCAGCACGCCCACCGGACGGAGCGCTGGCCACCCCGTGTCCTGTGGGGGCCGGGACCCGGGAGCCGCGGGAGGCACAGCCACGCCCTGCAGAGCGAGTGCTGCCTGTGGCCGCCTGAGAACCCCGCGAGAGCAGGATGTCCAAGCTGTCTGTGGTGTGTCCCTCCCGGCGTCGGGGCGCCCGCGGGGCAGTACCTTCTGCAGGTCGGCGATGGCCTGCTTCAGCTTCTTGGCGTAGTCGTAGCGCTCCTGCTGCACCGCGTCGCGCTTCCTCTCGTCTAACTTGCGAATGATCTGCGCGACTTCCGGGTCTTGGTACATATCGAAAGCTAAGTCGTCTAGCGGGGAGATGTAGTCAGACTTCCTGCAGGAAGAGGGGGCACTTCAGAGCCAGGTCCCCGGGGGAGGCGGGGAGGGCCCGGCGCAGCGCCGAGAACGAGGGCGGGGAGAAGGGCCAGCCCGGCTCCTGGAGGTGCTGCCCGAGGGGTCAGTGCGGCCGCGCAGCTCACACCGGGCCCGTATCCAAGGTCACGCACTGGGCATCCTCGGCCCTCCCAACTCCCCCCACCCCATGCTGCCATGCCAGGCTCTCTCTAGGCTCGCGGACATGACAGCGATGTGGGGCAGAACCCAACCCAGACCAATGCTGGCCAGGCCTTCGCTGTCCGGAGCCTGAGGGCCGGGCAGCCAGGCGTCCGCTCACACCAGCACCAGTGACCGGTGGACGTGACGGCCGGCAGCTGCTTCTCCTGCGCTTTTACCTCAGAGGGCCCAATGCTGCCTCGGCCTCCCGCCCGCAGATGAGAAACCCTTCGGGGGGCACACATCTCAGCTGCACGCCGCTCTGACCAGGCATCCGCTCTACTCTTTCTCCATTTCCCTGCAGGCGGGTCTAATGCTGACACTGACACTGACACTGACAGCCTAAGGTCGCAGCGGAACGGTAATGGAGGACACTAGCGACAGGAAACGGCACTGTCAGCTTTGACTTCACATGTAGGCACGTTTTAGCTAAAACGGTATTTGCCCTCAAATGCATCGGTTGGTAAATTGTATGGTAACAGGTTCAGAGAGGACACGGGAGACGGCACCTCCCGAAGGACCAAGCCCCCCATTCTGGGCCCCGCCGCCCTGAGCACGGCCCGTGGGCCCGGCGGTGGCTCTGAAGGGACACCTTCTACTGTGCCCACAGGCCACCTATCGACTGCCACCAAGAGGCAGGTCCACGCCAGGTCTAAGTCCTCCACCTCAAAGTCCCAGAGATGGAGACGGAGGCCTCATTTCATGATAAAAATCTTACAAAGTCAGTGAGGTCACATGACATCTGCCCAGGGCTCCAGGCCGTCCTGTCCTGGGGCGCCCTCCCCTTTCCCAAAACCCCGGAGGTCAGCCAGGACCGCAGCCAGTGGTCAGTGATGTTCGCCCTCAGCAACCACACGGCCCGGCCGCCTCAGGGTGAGGGCGTCAGGAAGGCAGCCGTGGGGCAGGGCGGCAGCCGTGGGGCAGGGCGGCCTCTGCGAACAGCCAGGCTCATGGCCATACCTGGCGAGGCCCAGCTCCTGAGCGCCGCAGCCTCTGCATCTGTGCAAACGGCAGGTCCTGGTTCCGTGCTGCTCTGACCCTGCCTCCTGCCTCCTGCCTCTGTGGGGCCCTGCCCCCCTGTGGCCCTGCCTCCCTGTGGCCCTGCCTCCGTGCGGCCCTGCCTCCCTGTGGCCCTGCCCCCCTGTGGCCCTGCCTCCCTGTGGCCCTGCCCCCCTGTGGCCCTGCCTCCCTGTGGCCCTGCCTCCCTGTGGCCCTGCCCCCCTGTGGCCCTGCCCCCCTGTGGCCCTGCCTCCCTGTGGCCCTGCCCCCCTGTGGCCCTGCCCCCCTGTGGCCCTGCCTCCCTGTGGCCCTGCCCCCCTGTGGCCCTGCCCCCCTGTGGCCCTGCCCCCCTGTGGCCCTGCCCCCCTGTGGCCCTGCCTCCCTGTGGCCCTGCCTCCCTGTGGCCCTGCCTCCAAGCGGCCCTGACCCTGCCTCCTGCGTCCGTGCGGCCCTGGCCCTGCCTCTGTGCGGCCCTGCCTCCCGAGGAGGAGTTTCGCCTGCAGCTGCGGCCGCATGCCTCCTGCCACACCCTCGTGCCTGCCTGCTCCTTCGGGTGCCGTCGGAGGAGCCCCTCCAGGGCTGTGTAACCCGCAGGCAGGCAGGCGGGCACTGAGGCCCCAGCAGAGGGAGAGCCATGTGCTGAGCGGGCTCTGTAGCTCCCTCCTCTGACCCACCCAGGCCTCCTTCCAGTGCAAGAGGCAGCGCAGCCAACGCGCACCGGCTGGCAGCGCGGAGCGGAGGGCTGTAGAACCGGACCTGAACAGCAGATGCGACATGTTTCTCACTTCCTTAGTCTCACGGCGGACGGACGGACAGATGGGAAGTCCCGGCAACGGGCCGCTGGGTCAGCAACGCCTTTGGTCTCACCTGCACTTTGGCCTGCGCCACTGGAACACCCGGTGGCGCCTGAAACCTCCAGTGAGAAACCCGAACCCACGAGAAAGGTCGCCTCGGCAGGGCAGCACCTGGAGGCGCCTGAACCGGGCTTCACCGGGGAGTGTGACTTCCCTGTTGGCGGCGGGGGTGGCCCCGGAAGCCTGGGGAGGGCTCTTACCCGGAGGAGCTTCCTTCCAGCGCTGGGTCCTCGGAGCGCTGCCCCTGGGACTGGTCAGCCATCTTCTCCCTGGAGGCCTGTGGGCGGAGAAAGGACCGCCCGGAACGTGACTGCGGGCGCCCCGAGGCCAGTGCACCCCGCTCCCGGAGGGCGGCCCCGTTCTCGCAATGAGAACAGTTTACGTTATTCCTCCGTCACTTCTGCGGGTTTTACCACGACACCCTTTGTGACGACAATAAACCCCGCCCTCCTTTTGGAAAGAAAGTTGCTTCTTTAGAGATGAAGCTTCCAAACTCACGATGTTGCTCTCGTCGGTGCAGCCCACGGGGTCCCCGATGATGTTCATGGCGACCAGGGCGACCTGTGGGAGCAGAGACCACGCGTCACAGGCGGGCACCATGGTCTTGTCAAAGCCACCAATGGAGGAAAGCTGGCCCATGTGCAGGCTGTCAATCACACAAGCTGACACTCAGTGCTGAACCGAGCGGCTGTTTAACGTTTAGAGGCTATGAAAACAACAACAGCTAAAAGCCTCCCAGGTTTTTAAAAAATATTATCTTTATTGATTTCAGAGAGAAGGGCAAGGGAGAAATAGGTGAGAGAGAATCATGGATCGGCTGCCTCCTGCATGCCTCCTACTGGGGATGGAGCCCACAACCAGGGTATATAACCTGGCCGGAATTGAACCCAGGACCCTTCAGTCCACAGGCAGGTGCTCTATCCACTGAGCAACACCGGCCAGGGCAAGCCTCCCAGTTGTTTTTTTTTTAGTTTTTAAAAAAAATATATTTTATTGATTTTTTACAGTGAGGAAGGGAGAGAGATAGAGAGCCAGAAACGTCGATGAGAGAAACATCCACCAGCTGCCTCCTGCACACCCCCCACTGGGAATGTGCCCGCAACCAACATACATGCCCTTGACCGGAATCGAACCCGGGACCTTTCAGTCCGCAGACCGACACTCTACCACTGAGCCAAACTGGTTTCGGCAGCCTCCCAGTTTTAACCCAGCCTCCCAGGAACCTGCTTGAGGCTCATGTGGGTCACACCAACACGCTTGGTGAATTAGACAAAGAATGAACCCCAAGGTTCCCTCGGCTCGCAGGCCTGATTTCATCGGAGGAGAGGAGCCCCTCCCCTCCCGCTTCTTGAGAATCACGTGGCTGAAGGAGCCCCTGTCCCTGTGAAAACACGGGGGAGGCGTGTGGAGGAAGGACGAGGCAAGGAGCCCTCCAGCTAGCTCCCCCGCAGCTGCCCCTCAGCTCCCCGCTCCAGCTCCCCTCAGCTCCCCGCTCCAGCTTCCCGCCAGCTCCCCGCCCGCATGGGCCCAGCAGGGCTCCCTGCCTGCCCTGCGCCGGCCAGCGGCTCCCTCCAAGGGAGCTTAGCCTTCCCGGGGGAGACGCCACCCCACGGAAGACTGAAAGTGCCTCTTTGCAAAGACAGGGGACACGGGACCCAGCCAGAGCTGCGTCGGCACGGGAGGCGTCACCTGGTTGTAGATGTTGTACTTGTTGGCGTGATTCTGGTGAAGAACCAGTTTCAGAAACTGCCCCTCTGTGTCCACATAGACTGACTTCAGCTCCCGGGCTCTGCAGCCCGTCTTCTCGTTGTCGCAGAGGGAGACGTAGCTGGAGGGCACAGAGCAGGCTGGCTGGGCGAGCGCGGCCTCACAGGAAACCCCAGGGAGAGCCCGGGGGTGGGAGAGGGGGCGTGGGGGCGTGTGGGGGATGGGCCACAGGACCTGGGACCCAGACCCGAGTGTGGGGCCCGGGACTCAGAGGAGGGGCGCTCGGGAGTCTGGGGCTTCCAGGAGGGGCCCCGAAAGAGGCCCTTACCCGCGCCCCCTCCGCTCACCCCAGCCTGTGGAAGCGCTCGGCCTGGAAGGGGCCCGGGTACGTGGGCGGGCAGTGGCTGATGAAGAACTCCACCTTGCTGGGGATCATGTACTGGTGCGCCAGTAGCTGCAGCTTCCGCACGCGGCATCGCTCCACCATCTGCACCACGATCTCCTGCGGGAACTGGCAGAACCTGGGGACAGAGCGCTGTGCTGCTGAGGGCGCCGGCACAGCTCTTCCCCGAGGCCGGGGACCCCGCTCCTGCCCTCACGGCCTCGCTGTGGGACACGCTGGGAGCCAGGGCTGGGTCGGACTGCCTGCCCCGGGAACAGCAGCGGGTTGACACGGCCTCCGGGGCTGTGCAGGCAGGCGAGACGGAGCCTCGGACTTCCCGCCGGAGCAGACAGCCAGGAGCCCTGGCTTAGAGGGAGAGCCTGCCCGGCTGGCAGCAGCCTCCGAGGTCTATGTGTGCCGCCCGCCCCCCGCCCCCGCACAGGCACAGCGGCCTGGAGGCGGCACCTGCACCGCCCACGCTGCAGCCCCGTCTCTGGGAGTGAACGGCACACGAGCCCTGAACACGAGGCAGCAGAGCCACAGGCCAGCCCCGCCTCATGGGATGTGACCGTGACCGTGACCGTTACCGTGACGGGGCCTCGCAGCACCGAGCCAAGGATGGAGGAACCACGTGTGCTGAGCTGGCCAGCCAGGGTTCACAGCCAGTGCAGCGTAAGCAGAGGACTTGCTGCTAGCCACTGCCTTCCGCCGGTCCCTCTGGCCACTGGCCACTCCGCCGGGCCCTCCCCACCTCTGCACAAGCCCAGCGTCCAGCCGCATCACCGGAGCCGGCCGGCCAGACCCGCCGCTCCGCCATCATTCCCGTCAGGAACCCTGGGTAAGAGAAGCCTCCGTGACCCGTCCCTCCCGTTCCCACCATCGCTGAGCTGCCCTCGCCAGCCTGGCGAGCAGGAGCCCTCCCCGTGCCCTGCACTCAGGGCTCAGCCACTGGCCTCCCCTCCCGGCCCCTCCTACCACAGGGCCCCTTCCTGTGACCTTGACCTTGCCCTGGGCTGGGTCCCAGCCCCCTCCCCTCAGCGATCAACAAGGAGTGTCCTGTCAGTCATGGCCTTAAAAACCTCCTCTGATCAAGGACCCCCCCACTGAGCCTCGCCCTGAGCCCCACCCCATAATCCAGCTGGTGACTGCTATTCCCACGCAGACATCCGAGCGGCATCATGGGACCAGGCCCTCGGCGGCCGCGGCACCCCCAGCGGCCCGGCCTATCCTAAGCTTCTGACATTTCTGACACGCGGAGCAGGCCTCCCCCTGCAGGCCCCGCTTGGCTCCCTGCTGGGTAGGCCGGGGAGGGGGAAGGAGCGGGGGAGGGGGGTCCACACCAGGCTGATGCCAGCGGGAGGTGGGCTCCCTGGGGACAGAGGAGGACAGTGAAGGGTGTGGATCTGGGAGCCTGTGGGTGCCGCTCGGTCAGTGAGCCAGGCCCGGTGAAGGCTCGCCGCGAACTGAGTGGCTCTGACGATCCATCACTGCGGTCCTGCCTTGGGCTCCTGCCGGGGCCCCGCAGAGGCTCTGCTTTCCAAAACCCCGCACTGTCGTCGGAACACATTTCCCGCTCGGTCTCCCACCCACAAATCTCACGCTGCTTCCCTCCCGACAGCTGCCCGTCACGCTCCGTGGCCGGAACCCTCACAGGCCGAGGTGAGACGGCAAAGGGAGGAATAGGAAGCCCTGACCGGTGTGGCTCAGTGGAGAGCGTGTCGGCCTGCGGACTCAAGGGTCCCAGGTTTGATTCTGGTCAAGGGCATGGAGCTCAGCTGCAGGCACATCCCCAGTGGGGCGTGCAGGAGGCAGCTGATGGATGATGTTCCTAACTCTCTATCCCTCTCCCTTCCTCTCTGTAAAAAATTAATAAAATATTAAAAGAAAAAGGAATAGGAAGGAATTCCTTCTCCCTCCTCAGGTCCAGGCGGGCGAACGGGAGTCCTCTCACTGCGATCTCCGCAGCCTCAGCACAGGGTTTCTTACTCATGAAGGAGAGGCCTCCCTGCTCACCCGGGAAGCACCTCTGGCTTCCCTCGGGCTCCTCTGAGCCGCCAACAGCCCCCCCTCCCCCCCCCCCGCGTTGGGCCCGTTGCCAGGGAAACCAGGGCGGCCGGGACACAGCGCTGAGATCCGTGACGGGCGGGCGGGGAGGTCCATGGTGCGGGGCGCCGGACAAAGGGTGATTCACATCCCGGGGACAGCTCCGGGTTTCATCACGCGCCTCAGAGCAGCAGGAGCTTTTAAACGTGTGCCTGTTTACTTCTGGAATTTTCCATGAGATATTTTCACTCTGTGGTTGAACCACGGGTAACTGAGACCCTGGACGAGGGGAGACGGCTGCATGTTGAACTCCGAGGAATGAGCGGGGAGTGAAACGAGGAAGGGGGTGGCTGGCAACCAGGGGGCGATCAGACGGGCTCTGGTTCGGGGCACCTCGCCCGGCATTTCCTGACACTGAGTTTTTGCAAAGCCAAGGCTGGGAGCGGTGCCCGAGGGAAGGAGGGGGACAGAAACACGGGAACCAGCCGCTGTGACACAGACACTCCCGCAGAACACACACACACGTAAGAGCACAGACGTTGGGACAAACCCCAGAGCCCTCCTTGGTGAGAGCTCGGAGTGACCTCCCTGCGGTCAGAGGCGAAACCAGGAAACCTGCCAACCGCACCGCGCTCAGCGCAGAGACGGCGTGAGCGGGCGGGCGGGCGGGTGGTCGCTGTCTTCTGTCTCCCCTCTTGTGTTCGCACATTTCTTAAGTGAACGTGGGTAACGTGACGAGGGAAGAGGTCCAGAAAGTTCTCTTTAAAACCCTGAGCAGCCGGCAGTGGTAGAGCGTCGGTCTGTGGACTGGGGGGTCCCAGGTTCGATTTTGGTCAGGGGCATGTACATTGGTTGTGGGCACATGCCCGGTAGGGGGCGTGCAGGAGGCAGCTGGTTGATGTTTCTCTCTCATTGACGTTTCTAGCTCTCTATCACTCTCCCTTCCTCTCTGTGAAAAAACAATAAAATATATTTAAAAAAAAATAAAAATAAAAAAATAAAACCCTGAGCAGCCGGGACCGGTTTAGCTCAGTGGATAGAGCGTCTGCCTGCGGACTGAAAGGTCCCAGGTTCGATTCCAGTCAAGGGCATGTGCCTTGGTTGCGGGCACATCCCCAGTAGGGGGTGTGCAGGAGGCAGCTGATCGATGACTCTCATCGATGTTTCTAACTTTCTATCCCTCTCTCTTCCTCTCTGTGAAAAATCAATAAAATATATTTAAAAAAAAAAAAAAAAAAAAGAAGCATCCCGGAGATGTTTAAAAACAACAACAACAAAAACACCCTGAGCAGCAGGAAGAGGACGCAGGACACATACAGGGGGTGCAGCAGCAGCGGACAACCCGCGGCCAGGACGAGTGACAAGGAAAGGAGCCGCCTGCTCTCGAGCCCCCGCTGCCCACCCGAGGCCCTCGCCCACCCACCTTGGCGACCTCCACCCGCTGACAGTGGGTGCGTGGATCATGAGTTCCCGGGCGCTGTAGCCGTTCTCGTGCCCAGATGAGCTGACGACAACGAATCCAATCTTGTGGGGCATTCTGTGCGCTGGGGCTGCTTGGAGAGAGCAGGAAACGCTTGTTTATTTATTTATTTTTAAATAAATATTATTCAGATTATTACAATTGTTTCTCCCACCCCCATCCCCCGGTAGCTCCCCTCAACCCGGTTCCCACCCCACCCTCTACCCTTACTCCCCTCCCCACCCCACCGCTGTCCTTATCCATAGGTGTAAGCTTTTGGTCCAGTCTCTTCCCGTACCCCCACACGGAAACGCTCTTTTAAAAGAGGAACTCAGTAACGTGTTATCACAACTTAATCCGTCGGAAACTACCAGTTCCAGCCTTGCCAAAACTCCGAGTAACTCGCAATGTTCCCTCTGCGAAAGAACCTTGTTTCTCCTTAAGCACCTTATACAGTAGCATCCTTTAACCACACCCCATCACCTCATGTAACACTTGGAGGTTTATAAAGGCACCCCAGGTACGGAAGCTAATTCCAGCATGTCATCAATGCAGGAAGTTTCCTCAGAAGGTTGATGGAACCCTGGGGTCTGGGCTGAGGGCATTTCCCCACACCTAAAAATCTGCAGAGATGATTGCTTGCTGCCAGACAGCTGAGGGCATTTTAATCTACCTGATATTGCCTCCTGCTGGCCAAACACTTCAAAGCTGCACCCCCACAACCTGATAATGGATTCCAAATACTAAAGCTTGGCCTTTGATCTGTATACCTACTTTGCCTTAGGGCAATTTGTGTTAATAAAAAGCAAGGGGTCCAGAGAGACAGAGAACTTGCTTCCTACAGCCAAGCTCCTCTGGCTCCCCAAAATGCCTTCCAAAATGATGTTTTGTCTCCAGACTCTAATAATTTACAGCAGCTCCTTGTCCAGATTCCTGAACCTTTCTAGATGCTGAACAGGACCCCTGGCGCCTAGGGTACAAGGTGGAAGGGCTCTGAAGGGGGCGGCCAAAACGGAGTCCTTTTCAGATGCCCTGGGGAGGCTGCCCCTGCTGTGCCCAGGCATTTCCCCTGCCTGGTCCCTAAGTGCCAGGCCTTTGTTTTGGATTTACTGAGACAACATGGCACGTGGCCACATCCTCCCCGTAGGCTTAAAAGGTCCTTTTTTCAGTCTCAGTGCGCACGGCGGAGGGTGTTGGAACCTGACCACCGACAGCGGGGCATAAACCCTGCCTGCGTGGCTCACAGCTGGGGGACCCTGGCCTGGGCCTCGCTGTGCCTCAGTTTCCTTGTCTCTGGCGTTGGGTGACAGCTGCACCTGTCTGTTGTCATGAAGGTTTGGAGGACAGGCCCTCAAGGCCTTGCCCACCGCAGTCCCAAGCGCTGGGTGAAGGAGTCTACACACACACACACACACACACACACACACACACACGTTGGCCCTGTGGGTAGGGCTTCAAATCTGTACGGATTCCAGAGCCACCATCACACTCAGCCGAGAACAGGAAAGACAGCTGTTTTCACGGTGGGCTGAGGAAGCAACAGGTCCTGCTCCTAGAGAGGAGCCGGCCTTGGGGGCCCCGAGCTGAGGGGCAAGTCTGGCGGGCAGGGCTGGGACAGCACCCAGGGTTCCGACACGAAGTTGGCCCCGCAACCTGGACAGAGAGCCCGGGAAGGTTCCTGAGTTAGGACCCGATGGCCATGACCTGGGCGGCCAGTTAGTGGATCTGGGACCCCGACAGCGGGCCCCCCCCCCAAGTCAAAGGTCAAACCCCCCCCCCCCCCCCCCGGGCAGGTCAGAGGTCTCCCCCAGCCAGCGCCCGCCTACAGGTGTCCCAAGGCCCTCACTCCACAGGCTGGTCCCGCCGGGAAAAGGGTGCCTCCAGGGGCACATTTTGGCCACTTCCGGGCGGCAGAGAGAGCCCGTCTCCGCTTCTCAGGGAGCTGAGTGTTCCACACGAGTGGTCTCCGGTCAGGGGGCCGGAAGGGTGTGGAGGCGAGGGGACCCAGGGTAACGAAGGAAGGACCGGGACCCGAACGGAACCTGCGCGGAGCGGCGAGTCACCGTCGCCGGGCGCCCCCACGGGCAGGGCGGGCCACCAGGACGCGGAATCCGACGCGAAACGCCAGGAGCCGAGCGCCCACCTGTCAGGATGGAGGGCCGCCGGACCTCGGCGTCCACACGACCTCCGCGCCTTCGGCGGGGCTCAGGCAGCGCCGCCTCCGCCGCCCCGACTCGCAGCGGCGGCGCCCAGCGCCGGGGCCGCGGCCGCCGCTCTCAGGACAACCAGCCGGGCCCGGCCCGCCCGGCCTGCGCGCCTGCGCGGCCCCGCCCGCCGCGCCGCACATGCGCAGCGCTTTCCCAGGCCTTCTGGGTAACGGAGTTTCCGAGGAGTGGCGCATGCGCACCAGGACAGGACCGCCTCTTCCCTGGGCCTTCTGGGAAGTGTAGTTCAGGGGGTGGCGCGCTGCCTTCTTCCTTTGCGCGGAGTCCACCGGGAGCCGGCCTGCCGCGGGGTGCGGACTCCCTGAGCAGCGGGCCGAGCAGGTGCTGCCCGCGGGGCCGGAGGCCCTGAAGATGTCTGGGTCCCGGAAGCCCAAGACGTTCAAGCTGCGGGCCTTGCACAGCCAGCAGAAGTTTGGGATCGCGGGGAGGAGCTGCCAGGAGGTGCTGCGGAAGGGGTGCCAACACTTCCAGGTGCTGCGGGGCGGGCGAGGGCGGCCACCGAGCTTGCTCGGAGGCTCTGGGTGTGATGGGACTGTTTGGCCCGTCACCTGTCACCATCAGCACCGGGTCACATCAGCCCAGTGTGTCCCCGAGAACTGACAGCTGCCTCGGGAGGCGGGGACCCGAGCAGGACCTCTGTGGGCGGCACCGGCTGGGTTCCCCCCACGTGAACTGTCTCCGGGTCCACGACAAAACCCTGTGATTCTGTGCTGACGCCTTCACGTCAGGGCAGGAGCCGGGTGGCAGAGCCTGGAAGGGCGCAGTGGGTGCAGCAGAGTGGGTGGAATTGGAGTCCTCAGGTTTCTAGGGGTTCTCAGACTTGGGGGGAGGTCCTCAGATTTCTCCCTGGGCGCAGAGGTGCCGCGTCTGGGCACACAGCGTTAGAAGCCTCTGCCCCTGCCCGGCTCCGGTACTGACGGCGTGGGAGGAATTTGGGGGAATCGGAGGTGCATCGGAGTGGTGGGAGGGGGAGGGAGACAGCGGAGGGTCCAGGGAAAAGCCATTTCCTGCCATTGGTCCCTTGAGACCCGGAAGAGGCACGTCTTCCTCCTGCTCCGCAGGGTGCAGGCTTGTGGAGGGGGAGGGGCCAGCAGCTGCCTCTGACCCTGAGGGCCCTGCCTCTGGCTTGAGATTCGGGGACCCTGTTTCCAGAGCACACCTGCTCATTAGCCGCGGGATAGGACGCAGCCACTGGCCGCCCTGGGACTCAGGTTCCCCTCGCGTGGAACGAAGGGGTTGGGCTCTGGGGCCCCTCAAGGCCCTGCAGCAGGAAAGTGGCTCTTGCAGCTGCTGTCTTGCTCTCACTGTTTTCAGGACTGGGTCTGGGCCAGCGCTGGGGTGTACACATGTGAGGTGGGGGTGACACAGGAGGTGCCCCCCAAATTCATAAAACCAACCAATGTGGAGCAACAGAGCACCAGCCTCCCTAAGGGACAGAAGCCAGGCGTCATTTCAGCCCGCGGTCCTGGCCCTGGTGGATGGGGGTGCATTCGCTGGCGTAGGGGCTGCAGTCCCGCTTCAGGTTTGGAAAAGGGTTTGGATTTTAAGTGCTCTGAGCAGCAGATGGAAAGGGTCCCTGTGGTGCCTCCGCAGAGCAGGGCCACTGCTTTAGAATGACCTGCAGGAGGTGTCCTCGTTCCGACACACACGCTGATTCTTTAGACACGTGCACCCGTCTCAGGTGTGTGCCCCGTGGTGAGGGCGGCGTGCTGAGCGTGGCTCTTGTTCCTCGTGAGGCTGCTGCTGCGCGGAGGGGGCCTTCCTGGGGCCCTGAGCCAGCGTCCTGTCCTCTCCTCTCCCCTCCCCCAGGTGCCGGTGCCCGGCTCCCGCCTGTGCCTCTGGGAGGATGGCACGGAGCTGACTGCAGACTCCTTCTGGAGCGTCCCGGACAACGCGGAGCTTGTGCTGCTCACCGAGGGCCAGGCCTGGCAGGGCTGTGAGTGGCGGGCCTGGTGCTGAGGGAAAGGGTCTGTGCGCATTCCTCCAAGCAGGGATGTGCAGGCCACCCTGGGGAGACTGCCCTCAGCTCTAGATGATGGGGACGGGGAGGAGGTGGAGGGACGCCATGGGCGCTGGTGGGACCTGAAACCCTGAGACGCTCCCCGGGTGCCCTGGCAGGGCTCTCCTGGGTGCTCACCCAAGAAAAGGGAAAGCTCGCAGCCACACCAAGGGTTCTAGCAGGGGTTCCCACGTGGGGCACACACCCCACAGGGAGGTCTGGAATGAGTTAACAGTGAATTTTTTGCATTTCTTATGGTTCTAGGCACCTGATAGCATATAAATATGTACTGTGGCATACTTACAAATTTCAGTTCTCTATTATGTTCTGAAACTTTTTTTTCATATCGCTTCATATTATTACTACTATAATATTATTAACAAGTTCTTAGTGATTTCTTCCTCAGGACTTCAATAGCTCTTTCTTTTCCTCTTCCATGGAGGCCGTGTTCTTTAGAAGCTTGTTTAGACCAAGCTCATGGCCTTTTCGGCTTCCTCCCCATGAACAGGAGCTCACTTTGTGAATAAGAATTCTGTGTCGGGAGGGAGGGGGTGGTGGAGCGCCGCTCAGGATGTTAGAGATGCTCAGGGGCGTGGCCAGGGGAAGGCCCGGAGCCCCTGGGCTATACCCACGTGTGCTCAGAGCTTATGCGCCACGGCCTGAAGGCGGGGCAGCCCCGTGTGCATTGGTGCAAACGGGAATGCCGTGAGAACGGAGTCCTGACTCGAAAGCATCAGGGGGAGGCGGTCAGGCTGGGCCTTCCCAAGGCGGTGCCCGAGGACTGATGGCTTGTTTGTCCCCTCGGTGGCAGACGTGAGTGACATCAGCCGCTTCCTCAGCGTGTTCCACAGGCCGCACGTGGGGGTCATCCAGGCCGCCCGGCAGCTGCTGGCCGACGAGCAGGCGCCGCTGCGGCAGAAGCTGCTGGCCGACCTCCTGCACACGGTCAGCGAGAACATCGCGGCCGAGACCAGGGCCGAGGACCCGCCCTGGTTCGAAGGTGCCTGGGACTTGGGGCCTGGCGAGCTGGGCCTGAGAGGGTTCCCCAGAGCCGGACACCTTGGGAGAGGCCGGGTCCTGCTCCAGTTCCCCAAACTAGGGGCTCCCCAAACTAGGAGCTCCCCAGACTAGGGGCTCCCCAGACTAGGGGCTCCCCAAATTGGGGGCTCCCCAGACTAGGGGCTCCCCAGACTAGGGGCTCGCAGCTTTCCTGCTCCCGGGGCTGGTCCGGCAGCCCAGGACGGTGGCGGGTACTGATGACACACAGCTCCCCATTCTAGCTGTTGTTAAGGGCACAGCTCAGGGTCATTACATACATCCCCATTGCTGTGCAGCCCTCACCATCATCAGCTCCAGAACTTTCCATCTTCCCACACTGCACCTCTGTCCCCATTAAACACTCACCGCCATCCGCTCCCCAGCCCCTGGCATCCCCCCTTTCCTTCCAGTCTCTGTGACCTGCCGCCTCCAGGGACCTCACGGAGGTGGAGTCAGACTAGCCTCTGCGATTGGCTGCTGTCACTGAGCCTCCGTCTACAAGGTCCCTGGCGGCCGTGGTGGCGTGAAGCCTATCCCACGGTGTGGGGAGCGCATGTTCTTGATCCGTTCATCCGCCCGTGGCCAGACCCCGGGTGGCTCCCACCTACGGACGAGCCCGTTGGGCAACCCCGAGACGCTAGCCGTCCTGAGAAGGGGCACCGGCAGGAGCCCCGGGGTGGCCGCTGAGATCCCCCCTGCACAGAGACGCCCCAGACACGCCCGGCACATTTCTCAGACGAAGCCCCAGACCCCCAACTCCCGGCCCTGCTCCCGCCCAGGACGGCAGGTGGGGGACCCTGCATCTGGGCCATGGCGAAGCCTGGACCCCCACCTCCCCCCTCCCGCCCAGGACGGCATGGATATAGGGTCCCCCACCTACCCCCTCCTGCCCAGGATGGCATGGATGCAGTGTCCCTCACCTCCCCCCTCCCGCCCAGGACGGCATGGATATAGGGTCCCCCACCTCCCGCTCCCGCCCAGGACGGCATGGATATAGGGTCCCCCACCTCCCGCTCAGGATGGCATGGATGCAGTGTCCCTCACCTCCCCACTCCCGCCCAGGACGGCATGGATATAGGGTCCCCCACCTCCCCCATCCTGCCCAGGATGGCATGGATATGGGGTCCCCCACCTCCTCCCTTCCGCCTAGGACAGCATGGATATAGGGTCCCCCACCTCCCCACTCCCGCCCAGGATGGCATGGATGCAGACCCTGGCCTGGCTCCCCCTGCAGGTCTGGAGTCACGATTTAGGAACAAGTCGGCCTACCTGAGGTTCAGCTGTGCGAGCAGGATCCGGACCTACCTGAGAGAGGTGGGCCCTGCGGAGGGTGGGCACTGGGCTCCCGGAGCTCCTGGGGCAGCGCCGGACCCCAGCCCCACGGTGCCTGGTGCCGCCCTGGCTGGGGCAGCTCAGGAAGGGGCTGGTGCTGGCACAGCCTGGAGCACCCCGGGGCCAGTCTCCACCTGCACTTGATTGCACGGTGTGGCAAGGCAGGCGGGCAGGGATGCAGCACGATGGCAGCTCCGGGTCGGCCCTCTTCCCCTCAGCCCCCCCGAGCTGCAAGTGGCCAGTGCGAGGAGACCGGGGGGTGGGCAGGGTGTCCGGAGCCCGAGGTGTGTCGCCCGCCTGTGACGTTAGCTCCGTCTGCGGAGACTTCCCGGTTTGGACAGCGAGGTTCCGTCTGAGCTCCGAGGGCTGGGGTCCCAGCCGCGTCCTTGCCGCCCTCCAGGTGAGCTCGCACGCGTCCGCGGTGGGCGCGCAGGCTCGGGAGGAGTACGTGCGGGCCGTGGACGCCATGGCCCAGAAGCTCAGGGCCGCGCAGTACAACGGCAGCTACTTCGACAGGAGCACCAAGGCCGGCGGCCGGCTCTGCACGCCCGAAGGCTGGTTCTCCTGCCAGGTGAGCGGGAGCCCGTTCCCTGGGGCCGCCGGTGGGTGCTGAACTGCCCTCCCAGGGAGGTGAGCGGGACAACGCCCTGGGCCTCCGGCCAACAGCCTCGCACCCCGAGCTGCTGAAAGGCCGCTGGGCCCACCAGAGCACCTGCTCCAGTGGCATGGGCCTGAGAACCTGCATTTCTGACAAGTTCTGGTGGCGCTCCTGCTGATGGGGGGGGGCTGGGGCGAGGAGGGACCATCAGGAGCCCCTGGGAAGCAAGTGTTTTGTCCCCCGGGCAGCTTCCTCAGTGACAGCGCCCAAGGATGTCAGGGTCTGTGGCCACTGAGACACCTCGGGCACTGGGCAGCCCACTCTGAGATGCGCAGGCAGACACTGCAGGAGCCTCCCATCGCTGAAGGCTGCCCGGGGCACTGCTTCCCCAGGTGCCACCCCGCGGGAGGATGGGGGGGCTCCATCCCACCACCGTCCTGGCCTTCACCTCTGTGGGTGTCAGGTGTGGCTGGCCTCAGGTGCCGAGCTGGGCGGGGGCTGAGGTGGCGCCTCCTGGCCCAGACCAGAGGGGACGGCTCACTCTGCGGCAGTCACCGTGTTCTCCCGGTGCAGGGTCCTTTCGACATGGCCAACTGCGCGTCCAGACACTCCATCAATCCCTACGGGAGCCGGGAGAGCCGGGTGCTCTTCAGCACGTGGAACCTGGACCACATGTGAGTCCGCGGGTCTGGGCTCTCCTGTTTACAGCTACAGGCACCACCCAGTGACACCGCCAAGTTGCCATCAGGGCCTGCCAGGCAGTGGCCATGCAGAGTGCGGCTCAGGGTCCAGTCAGGGGAGGGATGTCCCCGAGTGCTTGACCCGCGACAGCGCCGAGCCCCCCCCTTGCCCCCGCCCTGCCGCCCAGCTCCTGAGGCGGCCGAGTGGTTTCCTCTGAAACCTTCACTTCCCAGCTCCCTTGTGCGAGCGGCCACGCACTGCCGGGAGCTCCTGAGCCCGCGGTGTCACGGTGTCACGGCGTCAGGGCGCCTGTGCCGGAGGAGGCCGTGCCTCGGGCGCCAGCAGGCACGAGCGCCTCCTCCTTGCAGAATAGAGAAGAAGCGCACGGTGATCCCCGCGCTGGCGGAGGCGGTGGGCGAGCCGGCCGGGCGGCAGGTGGACTGGGAGTACTTCTACAGCCTGCTCTTCACCCGCGACAACCTCAAGCTGGTGCACGTGGCCTGCCACAAGAAGACCACCCACAGGCTCAGCTGCGACCCGCGCAGGATCTACAGGCCCCAGGCCACGCTCACGAGGAGGAAGGCTGTGCGCAAGCGCCCGTGACGCGGGCCGCGTCCTGGTGCGGGCGGAATTTTAACGGGTGCTATTTCTGCCACTGCGACAGCTTCTGGAAAACACGTTCACAGGCTCCCTGCAGACCTTTGGTCTCAGCACGTTTCAACTCGCGTATCCTGCGCCTGTGAGCTGTGGACACCAGGGCCTAGGGCCCGGTCGGCGGGTCAGGAACCAGAGTTCTTGGACTTGACCCACCCTGCTTGCTTGGTGGCACACCTGCCACGCTGAACGGCGCCATGGCCGAAGCTGCCACCTTGCCTGAGGGCCAGCTCTGCCAGGTCTCCATTCCCCAGACCGAAGCTCCGTCCTCTGGATTCTTCCAAATGCCGGGACCCTGACCTTTTCGGGGTGAAATGCTCACCCCCCACAAGCAGCAGAGGGGTGCTTGCTTCTGTGCCATCACGGCCTGAGGTGGCCTCCACGCCTGTTGGGGGCGTGGTGATCGTGGCCCTGCACTCAGCCCAGATCCCTGGCCTCTAGGCTAGTGGTCGGGGATTGCTGATCTCACGGTTCAACCTGCCGCATACCGAGGCCACGCTGCAGCAGCGCAGGTGTGTGTGACACGGAGCTGCCTGTTAAATCACAGGCGAGTGGCCTACGCCAAGGCCATGAGTGTGACACACACGAGTGTGAGGCAGCTCGTCTGCACAGCTGTAATCCTGGGAATAGCGTGGGTGCGACTGTTACAGAGGACTCATGTTCTAAGCGTGTTTGAGAACAGTCGGCCTCGTAGCTTCGCGCCGCAGTTGGACTCCTCCGATGTGGAGGGCCGTCTTCCTCGTTTTATATCAGGGCCTGAGCATCTTCAGGTTTTTGGTGTTGGGGCTCCTGGGCCAGTCTCCCGCGGGAACCGAGAAACAACTATACTTGAATTTTTAAAATGAGCATTTCTTTCAGAATTTTAAAAATTTAGTTTTTTACCTTTTGTAACATTTGAATTTTTACACTTGTTATAAAACCAGGAAAAGCAATAAAGGTTTTTCAAATAGACACGTCAGAAGCGTTTGCACTCACTGACAATGATGGAAATGAGGATAAAAAGGGGTCAGTGATTTTCAAAAACCTGACCCAAATCGTCCCCTCTCCTCACTGGAATACGCCGTGGAGCAGCCGGGCTGGACCAGGCCTGTGGGGGAGGAGCAATCGCATCTCACTGGAGCTCCGCTGCCGCCAGGCAGTGCGGACAGGGCGCCTGCATCTCCTCTGGCCTGTGCATGGAGGGAAGGTCGGGTTTGGGGGGTGGCGTTTCCTGCGTGTCGGTGTGAGCAGCCTCCTTGGCGGCAGGTGGTCTTAGGAGAGGTGATCTGATGGCCTCTCCTGCGACACAGCATGAGTGACCCTGCCACCTGCCTGGCGCTGGACACACAGGGCTGTGTCCCTACCACAGCGGGCTCCTGTGACTGTGTATCACTTTGCAAAGACCAGTCTTAGAGCGTTTCCTTCCGCTGGCAAGAACGCAACACAAGATGCTCCTTGTGGCCAGGCGACGAGGAGGTGGTGTGGTGGTGGGGCAACTGTGCCTGGTAACACGTGACACCACAGAGGCCAGCTCAGAGAGTGCAGCCCTCACTGTCCCCGCAGGCGGGATCCAGGTGGAGCTTCCGGCCCTGCCAGGCTCACCAGACTCTCTGTGTTCACCACCCACAGGAGGGTCTCCGAGGAAAGACCGACGAGCTGGCGGCCCTCCGGTTTCACTGTGGCTTCATCAGTCCCGACCGGCCAAGTCTCTGGCCCCTGGGGACAGATCCAGCCTCCAGGCTCTCCTCTCCCCGGAGGCCCCTCCCACCTGTAGGGTCCCAAAGCCACCTGGTTAACTGACAACACGCCAGCAGCTAGGAAGCTGCAGGGGCTGCAGAGCTGTGAGCAGGAGCCCAGGATGTAGATCCTAAAAACCACAAGACGGCAGCTGCCCACCACAGGTGAGGAGTATGTTGCTCACCCAGGAGCCTGCAGGCTGCCGCCTGGCTTCTGGTTGGGCTGCTGGCTGAGTGAGGGGGCTGACCCGGCCTTCGGGGCCAGGCAGGACAGGACTCACTGTCCCAAACACTTCAGAAAGGAGTAGTTTCAGGGACACAGGCTTCTTTAAAATATTTTCAAAATATATTTTATTTTCCCCCGTGCCTCTTGCAGAACGTCCAAGGTCAACCTCAGCCTCACACAGAGAGTTCTCGGAACCGTCCGAGTCAGCCCGTGAAGGGCTTACAACTCCCGGGCGTCTCCTTCACAAACATCCCCCCTTTACCCAGCCCGCGGCTGCCTCCAACCACCTCCCACCTGTCCAACGGGGACCAGACGCCACGTGCAAGCAGCAGCAGCAGCTTCCCCCCGCAAGGAAGGGCCGGCTCCCAGCGGAGCCCCCGGGGAGTCTGCTTAAGGACACTCTCCCGAGGGTCACTTTCCTAAGTCCCATAACCTCGCCTGTCACCTGTCAGCGCACTGAACATGCAAGGCAGTCACCGTGTGAACTTTATTCCTACATTTCCGCGTCCTCCTCATCGTCGTCATCTTTGGCTCTGAAATGCATCTTCCTGAACTCCCGTCTGCTCACTGAGGGACAGGACGCAGACGCTGGTGGGAGGTCCTTGGGGGGAGAGAACACGTCCTCGTCAGTCACCCCTCCCTCTGCCTCAGCGCCTGCGTGGGCCACAGTGCAGCCCTCCTGCAGACAGTGGGACCACTAAGTCCACGTGGGAAACGAGCCCAGGGCGCAGGCCCTGCGGGGACACCGCCCAGCAGCCGGGCTCTCGGTGGAAGGACAGGTGGGCGTGCCCAGTGAGGAACTGCCCTTCATCTCCTGGTTGAAAGGTGACGGTGCACCTGCTATTGGGCTGAGGCGTCCTCACTCGCACCCCCAGGCCCCCCCGAAGGGCAGACGGCGCCGGCTCACCTGCATGAGCTCCACGTTCCCGAAGAACCGGCTCACGGGCATGGGCTGGCTGCTGTCGTCGTCCAGGAGGGCGCTGCCGTCCATCTGCAGCACGGAGCCCCCCGCGGCCGAGCTGCTGTCCGACTCCCCTCCGGGGAGGGCGCGGGGCGGGCTGTCCACAGTCCTTGCTGAGCACACGTCACTCACGACCCGGCCGTGCCCGAAGGGAAGGCCTGCGCTCCCCCGCGGAGCAGAGAGGCCGGCTTCCTCCCCCGGGGGCGCCGGGGGCGCCGGGGGCTCATTCCCGCCGGGGGTCTCCGGCGGCGCCCGGGGCAGGGCCCCACTCCCACTCTCGCTCTTAGGGACCAGTTTCTGTAATTCCGACTTCACAAGTTGGCCTCTGTCACACTTGAACTTCTTGGAAGTCCGCCTGTCCGTGGCTTTGTGGGAGGAAGTCTGTGGAGGAAAACATGCCGGGAAAGCAGGCCCGTCCAGGATCATGAAGCGACAGCAAACACGACAGTCCCAACCCCGAGGCCCCTCCTCACACCTCACCCTGGACGTGAAGTCCCGCTTCTACAGCCGGGTACGGCCCAGGCCACCGCTGCCACCAAGGGGCGGCCGGGAAGAACCCAGGACCGCAACCCGCCCCCCCACGTGTGCTCCAGGTGTGCTCCAGGCTGCCCACTGCTGAGCAAGCTCAGAAGCCCGTGCTGACAGACCGCAGCCTTCCCCTCTTTCTGCCGGAGGGCGAGCAGCTGAGAGCAGGGACGGGGGGGGGGGGGGGGGGGGGGGAGGTGTGGGAGGGTGTGTGCTCTGCAGGCTCACACGTGTCTTAGCTCGGCTTCCAGGAGCCACGGAGCAGCGAGACTGCGGGTGCTGCTGTCACACCGAGTCCCAGCCACTGCTGCCGCACTGCATGGAATGCAGACATGCAGACATGGTGGGTCCTCCCCCCAGCCCACTCTGCCTTTCTCTCGAAGCCTTGGGGGGGAAAGAAGGACACTATGCCACCATCATTCAAAAGGCTGCACTGAGCCCTGGTCGGCGTGCTCAGTGGTTAGAGCCTCAGCCTATGCACCGGAGAGTTGCCAGTTCAATTTTTGGTCAAGAGCAAGTACTGATCCCCGCTTCCCTCCCCACTGGGTGTGTGCAGGAGGCGACAAGTCGATGTGTCTCACATCGGTGTTTCTGTTTCTCTCCCGCCCCCCTCCTCTGAAACCAATGGGAAAAAATCCTCACTCCTTGGTGAGGATTAAAAAAAAAAAAGGGCTGCATCAAAGACGAAAGGGCCTGAGACAGGCCTGCTGACTCCCTGGACCCAACCTCCTGCCCCGGTTCCCAATCAGCACCCCTCAGAACGCACGCTGCGTAGACACGAACACCGAGCCCTGACCCAGTGTCTCCCTGGCAGAGGCTCACCTGACATACTGTCCTGCCGGACGCGGCGGCCCTGACTTCCTGGGCAGAGGTCAGCCTGGCTGAGCAACTCCGGGCTCGCAGACGCTCTGAAGACCGCACTGCCCCTGTGAGCTGGAGGAGGCGAGGCTGTCAGAGGCTGTGCCCGAATAGGGCACGGAGGGGGCTTCCTAACCAGGATGGCACTGAGCACGGTCCCCCCACTTCCAGTCGCTATGGAAGGACACTGGCCATGGTCCCCCCACATCCCATCGCTATGGAAGGACACTGGTGACCTCTGTGCGAATCCAAGACCTCCTTTTCCCCCGTCTTGGGAACTTGGGGTGATCAGTCCCCAACACGCCTCTAGGAACCCGTCTGTAGTGACTGTTCCGCAGCGCACACCCTTCCTCAGAAGGTCCTTCCCTGTGGTGCCAGTTCTGGGTGAGAGGGAACATGAACAAGCCCCCACCCCGGACCCGCACCCCTCGACAGTAAGACACGGGTCCGCCCCCATTAACTCTGAATGCTAAAGACGCCTTCTGATAGCAAGGAGAAGTTACTGAAAAGGAACAGCTGAAAGAATTGTACTGAGGAGCGGGCGTAGGTACAGGGAGTTCCTGTGCGCTGCCCTCAGCCGCCCTGACTGCCGTCACACTGTCCCCGCAGCTGCTGGCTGCCCTGGAGGCGCACAGCTCCTCCTGTGAATCCTTTCCTGACTTAGGAGCTGACGGGCGTGAGTGATAAGAGAAGGGGGCAACCCAAGGTCACTGGATGGCAGGCTGGAAAGCTGTCCTCACCACACGCCCCGGAACCCACGGGACAGATGGAAGGCCACACACTCCGAGGAAAAGAGATCAAGAAGGAAGAAGGGAGTTTAGAAACTGCTCCAGGGGCATCTCATCCATCCTGCCAGGCTCCTGAGGGCTCACGGGTGCTGCCATGCCCCCCCTGAGCTGAGCCCTCATCTCCAGCCTCAGGCCTGTCCGTGCTAACAGAGCCCGGCTCAGAGCTCTTCCCCTCTCCCCAGAGGAGTGACTTCAGGGCAGTGGTCAGCCCAGCCTCGGGGCTCCCCGGGCAGCGGGGTCCTGAGCAGCTCCTCGCAGGGGGTGGGAGCAACAGCTGGAAGAGCCCCTGGGGCCCGAACAAACATCAGCCACTGGCTTAGAACCATCCCCTCTGAGAAGCCGGAGTGAGTGGGAGCGTCTGTGGAGCATGCCCAGGTCACCGCTGAGAGCCACGGAGCAATCAGCCGGGTTACCAGCGGGGGAGGCGGGAGAAGCAGCGGCCTCCTGGGTGCCTGTGGGTGTCCCAGGGCTGCTCTGGGGGGGGGGGGGCAGACTCTAATAGAACCACCCACCGAGTCACTGAACCAACAGCACACTAACAGCAGTGAGCTGGGAGATCAGCACCCAGAACAGCCACACAAGTTATCTAAAATATCCAGCTTCAACAAAAAAAGCATGAAGCATGCAAGGAAACAAGAAAGCAGATCCAGGCCTTGGAATAAAAGCAGACAACACTGCCTGTGAGTGACCAGATCTTGCATTTATCAGAAAAAGGCTCGAAGTAGCCATTATAAACATGTGAAAAAGATAAAAGAAACCGTGATTTAAAAGGAAAAGATTGATATGTTGCATCAAATACAAAGTATCAATAAAAAGATAGAAATTATAAAAATGAACCAAATGGAAGTTCTGTGGCTGAAAAGTATGACAGAGGTTCAACAGTGGGTATGAATTGGCAGAACAGAATAAGACGACAGACTGATAGACATGCAACCTTGAAAGAAAAAAGAATGAAGAATCTTAGGGAAACATTGTCTATACAACATACGTGTAATGGGCGTCGCAGAAAGGACAGAGGGGCAGGAAGCTAGTCAAAGGATGGCTGGCCACGCCTCACGGCTGGGATCACCACCTGCACATCAGGCGTCTCCAGGAACGGAGTTTTACGTCGGGTAAGGGTACAGAGAGCCACACGCACATCCCTGTGAGAAAGGTAAGTGTCAGAGACAAGGAGGAAAGCAGCAAGAGGAAATGACTCCTGGCTTCCAGGGGAACAAGCTGCTGACGTGTCAGCAGGAACCCGGGAGGCCACAGCACAGTTGGTACATTCAAATATATGAAAAGTTCTCAGAAAAAAATGATGTCAACAGAGTCCTATATCCCAGCAAAGCTATTCTTCCAAAATGAAGGCAAAATAGACACTTTTGGATAACAAGCACTGAGAGAGCCTGCTGCCAGCACCCCCTCCGCACAGGCAACACTACACCAAGCCCTTTGGGCTGAGGAAGCTTTCGGATGGCAATCCAATCAAAGGGAAACAAGGCAGTAACCGCACACGTATCCCGTCCTTCTCTGACCTGATTGAAACAGCAATCACACACCATAACATGCACACAATATACACAGAAACGTGCTAGCCTCTCTAGTAAAGAGGGAACATGCAAATGGCTGTCCACCATAACAAGATGGCTGTGCCCACAACAGAGGACCAGTTCCCGTAAAGAGCCTTAATGAGCCATCAGCAAGGACCTAAGGCTGCGTGGTGCTGGACTAGGCCAGGGACCCCAGGCCTTGCCCCCTGCACAGCGGAGCTTGATGGGGGACCGCAGGCCATGCCCCTTGCCCAGCAGGGCTTGATGGGAGTGGGGCTGGCAGGGTCTGGATCTCGCCCAACGGGGGTGGAGCCGGCCAGGCCTGGGTCTCTTTGCAATTTTGAGGAGCACGTGGGTGGGCAGGGACTTAACTCTGAGTCCCGTGTTGTGCCCCAGACTCTGACTGGAGGAAGATTTTAATATACATTTTACTAATTTCCTTTCATCTCTGACACTTCTATTCTAGAGAAAGGGCAAATAGCAATATTAAAATATTTCCTCTGACGAATTCCCTTTTAATGTGCACGAATTTCATGCACTGGTCACCAGTTTGCAGTAACAGCATAAAGGAGGTGAGTGGGAGCAAGGCTGGGCTGGGCTAAGAAAAATGGCTCCAAATGGAAAAGCAGGCAGACATCGTACTACTGCGTTTGTGACAAGAAACGTGATATCCCCAACAACACACCGTGAAAGCGAGTAAAGAAACAGCCATACAGGACGAACACTTCTGTATGTTTGGAATGAAGCTGGTACAAATCCCAAGCGGGTTCTGCTGTTATGAAGTACAAGCTTTTTAAACCAGGGGAAAATCATTAGTTATATTAAAAAACATTCACTCTGCCCAGCTGGTGCGGCTCCGAGGTTGCATGTCAACCTAGGAACCAGGACGTCACGCTTCCATTCCGGTCAGGGCACATGGGGCTGTGGGCTCGATCCCCAGTCGGGTGTGTGTGTGTGTGTGTGTGTGTGTGCAGAGGCAGCTGATCTGATCCTCTCTCATCACTGATGTTTCCATCTCTCTCTCTCCCTTCCTCTCTGACATCAATAAAAACATTTTTAAAAGTTTTAATAAAAACCTTCACTTTAACCCATTTAAATGAGGAACAGCACAAAACAGGCCACATAACGAGAGGAAAGTGAAATGGCACAGGCGAGTGCATCCAAGTGCACCAGCAGCATCGCACGTGCACGCGCTGCCCGGCTGAACCAGGAGCGGACAGTGGGCCTGGAGACCCGCCGTCTGCAGGGGCCCTCAGGGTCCACGCCGCTGGGGGGTGGGAGGGAGGAAGGAGTTGGGATTCGGTCCTGAGCAAACCCGGAGAGCCCGGGTGCACGTCCCCGCCGTTGGAGGCCTCCCCAGTGGGGTCCCCCCGGGCCAGGGGTGGCTTGTGTCCCAGGCCCTCGCCTCCGTCCACATACCGGTCACCCAGTGCCAGGGACGGGCATCGGCAATCCTCACCCTCTCGGGGTGGATTCCACGTCACCCCGTTTCACACAGAATAGTGGGGCCAAGCGGCATGTCACCCAGGCGTGGTCGTGGCAACAGGAAAACAGGGACCCCGGGTCTGGCAGCGCCGGAAACGCCGGGGTCCCCACTCCGGGATGGAGCCCGCAAGTCCCCTTCCCGGAGGTCTGGGAGCCCCCGCCGGGAGGCGTGGCCTGGGAGCGCCCCACAGGGTGCGAGGCCGGGAGCTCACGGAGGGCCAGGCCCAAGCAGAGGTCGCCCCTTGGCCCAAGGCGTCCGTCCCCCCTCGGCTCCCCAGCATCCGGCGGCGGCGCCCTCGCCTCGGCCCCGCCTCCCTGGCCCCGCTCCGCCCGGCCCGGCCTCACCTTCCGGCTCCTCATGAGTGTGGGAGGCGCGGCCGCCGAGCCCGTCGCTGCCGCCTAACGCTCCCCAGAGCCGCGGCCACTCTCCAGCCCTCGGCGCGCGCGGGGACGTATGACGTCACCAGAGGACTGGCCAATCACAGCCCGGGGTCAGCAACCACGTGACCCCACAAACCTGGCGCTTCCCGGAGCGGAAGGCGGCGCCGCGTTTGTGACGTCACTTCCGCTGCTGCCCTGCGCCGCCTCGTTTCAGAGGCGCCGCCATACTGGTGAGGGCGCGGCCATGCTGGTGAGGGCGCCTCCCCTCGGCTCAGGTCCGGGCCTTAGGAGTGTGGAGTGGCCGAGGGGCTCCGCGCCTGGGCCCTGGGCCGGGCTGCACCCCGCGCAGCAGGCCGGCGAGGCACCGGGGAGCTGAGCGGGGTGATGGCGGGCCCGGCCCAGGACCCCGTGTGGTTGAGGAGTGAGCCCGCCTTCGGCCCGACCTTTGGGGAGAAGGACCGCAGCGGTCCTTCTTGGCCATCACTCCGCCCGGGGTTGCCCTGGAAAGACCTCCCCTCCCTGTGTCCAGTGGCGGAGCGGGGATCCGTGAACCAGGGGGTCACGTAGATTCCGGGTTTGACCTCGGGGTGCAGGCTCCGTCCTCAGGAGGGGCGTGCAGGAGGCAGCCAGTCAATCCTCCCTGATGCTGCTGTCTCTCCCTGTCCCTCTCCCTTTCCCTTCCTCTCTGAGATCAATAAGAACATATTTAAAAAAATGAAAGCCCTTTCACAGCGGAGGAGGACCAGCAAGTATATGAGATCAAAGAATAGCATTTGGGAAACACGGATTCAGTGGCGGCTCAGTGACAAAGGCAGGGGCACCGTGAGAAGGGAAGGGACAAGAGCATTGTGGACGAAAGGAGCCACATGCTGACCTGACAGGCTCAGGGGAGGCCTGTGTGGCGGTCTTGCAAACTCAGAGACCTAAACTAACCACAAAAGATGGTTTGAAAATTAAATATTTAACTACAAACAGGGTATAGTGGGTAGTCATGTCCTAGGCCGGTATTTTCTCTGACAAAGATCAACTTAGATCTTCTTTCCTGAGCCCATTTGCCTTTCTGCCTCTAAGATAACATATCTGTGAGATGTCTGGGTAACTTGTAACTTCTCTTTTTTTTTTCGGAGCCCCTGGGGCACAACCAAATATGTTGGGCGCCAAGACATATGCCTCAAATTCCTTCATTATCATGTTGATTGTTCCTGTACCCACCTAAGTATGTGTCCATCATTTTACTTTTTACCCTATCCCAGAGGTTTCCCTGCTTTGCTTTGTCCCACCTCCCTAATCTATCACCAATGAATTTCATGTAACCCACCTACATCCCTTTCCTTTGATTGCAATGTATAAATATAGAAATGTAACCCGCTGTTCCCCGGAGCATTATCTCAATCTGTTGAGGTTCTGCTTCCCGACATATGTCAACAGTTTGGCTCAGATAAACTCACAAAAATTCTTTACAGGTTTCAATGGTTTTTTGTTAACATCTATTGGAGGAAGGTGTTTCTGCAGGTGCAGATCAGCTGACAGCGATGCTACCCTGTTTCCCCGAAAATAAGACAGTGTCTTATATTAATTTTTGCTCCCAAAGATGCGCTAGGTCTTATTTTCAGGGATGTCTTATTTTTCCATGAAGAAGAATACGGTACACATTTATTGTTAAATGAAAATAAATGAAATTTATTACCTGTATATGGTACGGTAGTACAGTAGTTGTCAACACAAATCAGACAAACTGAATCCTACGGTATCAAGAATTTACTCATTTATTCAAGGACAATCATGTCATCATCTTCTGGAACATCATCCTAACAATCAATTCCTGGATTTCCTGGTGAATTTCTTGTGACTCCATTTCTTTCAGAATCAGTGGACCAAATCTCTCATGTTTAGCAATAGCATTCTGAGACAGAGCCTGCGGGGGGGGCCTTATTTTTGGGAGGATGCCTTAGATTTCACTCGGAAACCTGTAGGTAGGTCTTTCTTTTGGAGGATGTCTTATTTTCGGGGAAACACGGTAGTGTGTTTTTAAAATAAATTCAATTTTATTGATTTTAGAGAGGAAGGGAGAGAGAGAGATAGAAACAGTGATGAGAGAGAATCGTGGGTTGGCTGCTTCCTGTACGCCCCACACTGGGGATGAAGCCCACAATCCGGCCTGTGCCCTGACCAGGAATCGAACCATGACCTCCTGGTTCATAGGTTGACGCTTAGCCACTGAGCCAGGCTGGTGGGGTGACCTAATTCCAGACACTTTAAAACCTCAGCCCTGTAGCCATCAGCCCCTGGGTCATAATATCTGTTGTGTTGTCACCTTTGCAGACAGCTCTCTGGGACAGGAGCTAAGCCCTGTGCAAAGGTTATTTTGCTCCGTTTTAATATCCCAGAGGTTCGGGGCCCAATACGTGCAAGGCAGTTCTTCCATTTTTAAAGAGGCTCCGCTTATATCACGGAGGGGGGGACCTAACCCCTTTACCCCACATCCCTCTCCTCCCCTCCTGTCCCTCAGGGCCCCTCTCCCCAGCTCCTGGGATGAGCTGGCTCCTGTCAGCCCAGGGACGGTGCTGCTCAGCATTGACATTTACAAGGAGCCCCCAGCCTTGCCTGCACACTCCCAGGCCCCCAGCTCCAGCTCCTGGCCCCGGGACGTGCCTCTGAAAAGGACATGGTCCCCCGGGCTGCAGCTGCAGGTCCCCCCTGCCCTGACTGAGCCCAGATGGCGGCTGCGGCTGCTCCGGGAACCAGGCGCTTTGCAAACACGCACTGGCTGGCCTGCGGCTGTCTTCTCTCACAGGGGAGAGCCTTGGGTCAGGCCGTTCTGTCAGGAGCACAGCTTTGCGGTAGAGCTGTGAGGGCGGGAACGTGCACTCTGTCGCGCCCTGGCCTCGGGCGCTGCAGGAGGGTCCCTGTGGGCACGGTGTCACCGCAAGGCGGTGCCTCATGTCCTCCTGTCGTTTCTCCCGGGAGCTTTAATGTTCGCTGCCTGCGTGGCATGACTCTCTCAGAGCTGTCGAACACAGCTGAGGCCACTGCAGGGCAGACAAGTGAGGGCACCTGAGGCTCACCAGCTCTTCCCCCGCAGAGAACCTGCAGTTAGATGGCACGTGGGGTCGAGCTTGACAGGGAGGGCGCGTGCAGTCTTCACGTGCACACATGCATGCACCCACACATGTGTGCACACACAGGCACGGCACACGTGTACACACCTCACCATGCTCACATATTGCACACACATGCACACACAGGCACTACCCCTGTGTATACACACCTGCACGCACACACACGTACATACAGACATGGCACGTGTATACACCCCACTTGCACACACACAGGCATGACGTGTATACATCCCTCCCCCACACGCACATATGCACGCAGACACGACACATGTGCATCCCCATACATGCACACACACACACACACACACACACACGGACACAGTCACCTCCCCGGCAGTCGCACCGCTCCCTCCCAGGCCTTGCTTCTCCGTGCTGTTTCCCACCCAGCCGGGGGAGAAGACGGCTGTGGCGGCAGGAAACCCACCGGACCAGAAGCCAGCCGACTGCTGGCTGCTGAGAAAAAACAAATCCGTGTTACGCACCACCCACATTCGCACTGACCTTGCCTGAGCCTCTGGGCGCAGCGGCTTCCCTTTGGGCCTCCAGAGCTCCGAGTTCTCAGAACCAGCGCAGTGGCCGGCGGGCAGCTGTGTGCCACGTTATTTATGGCAGTGCCTGCAGACAAGCGCCCAGGCCTCTCCACAGAGCCCCCCCCAACATGCACTGCTCCTTCTGCCTGGGGGTCCTTCCTTCCCGCCCCCATTTTCCTGGGGATCCATTCCTCAGACCTCAGCTCAGCTTTAAGTTCTTGTCCTTGGGGCATTACCAGATTCCCACTCCCCACCACACACACACACACACACACACACACACACACACACACACACAGTGAAATCTGCGCATTTTCACTTTTTTTTTTTTTTTTAATATATTGATTTTCCCAGAGAGGAAGGGAGAGGGATAGAGAGTTAGAAACATTGATGAGAGGGAAACAGTGATCAGCTGCCTCCTGCACACCTCCTACTGGAGATGTGCCCGCAACCAGGGCCGTTTTCACTTTTTTACCATTCGGGACTTTCACTTCAGGACACGGGAGCAGGTGGCTCTGCTCCCCCAGGTTTACTCCCTCCCTCCCTCCCTCCCTCAGCAGCGTGCCGAGCTCCCCACGTGCCTGCCTGGCCCAAGGCGATGGCGGACTCCGGGCCGGCCTGTTTGGAGCTGTTGTCCAGTGATGGGAGAAACCAGCGTCGGTGGAATCATCCCAGGAACAAACGTAAATGGAGGAGTCATAGCACGGGCCACAGACCCACGGGGAGAGGTGAGGGTTGGGTCCCTAGAAACTGCTGCTTATCGGCTCACCGCTGAGGTCCTGAGCGAGGCGTCTATAGCTGCAGGGCTTGTGTATGGTGTTGGGGAGGTTACCAAGCGTGCCCACAGCCCCTCGGTCTTTCTCCATCGGCTTAGTGGTGGAACACACCGTCCGCTCCTTGCTCAGAGCCTGGGGCCAGCCCCTGAAGTGGGGGGGAAGGAAGGGGACCTGAGCATCTCACCTCACAGAGCTGCTGTGAAATGGAGAAAGAAGGCCTGGTGGGGGGTGGGGCGAGGTGGTGGGCATTTACCTTTGGTTTTGTTATTTTCCTTACCTGAGGATATTCTTCCCATTGCTCTGAGAGAGAGAGAGAGAGAGAGAGAGAGAGAGAGAGAGAGAGAGAGTGTACATGTGTATATATGTGAGGTGTATGTCTGCCTGTGTTTCCCCAGCTCTGTGTGCCTTGGTCAAGCTGTGTGCATGCATGTTCAGTCACTGACAGGTGAAATCCTATCTACGTGGGGATCCCTGGGGGCGGGGGGTGGCTCCTCGCCCCTCACTGTCTCCCTCAGTGCCTCCTTTCCTGTGGTTAGACCTTCTATCCCTCTTCT